CCAAAATCAACGGTCCAAGTCCTCAACCCATTTTGCAAGTTTGCAAGTACAATCAGTAGATGGAGTTAAATGCATTTTCTTGACTCCTCATCACTATCGTTGTCATCGATGCTGTTAATATTATAGCCAATTAAAGATAACTTTAATTAGCTCCGGTGGACACATATGGGGTGAGCCAGCAGTAGAAAGGGATTGAGGGTACACAAGATTCCAGGTCTCCTCAACCCATTTTGCAAGTTTGCAAGTCCAGTCATGCACATGTAAACTGTACTCGACTCAACCTTTTGACTGTTCAAATTGTAATTGATTTCGGAGAAAGTTATTGTTGGTCCCCAAATGCATGGTTAGCTGGCTTCTTACTTCTGCATGATTATATGCTTTATTTCTCCTTGACAGAGCCACAATGTTTTCTTTAATACTCATGATGCTGCTATTATATTATGCCCACATATTCCCTTTTATTTATGCTATTTCGACACAAATGGGTTTTCAGTTTTATTTTGATTTTTTAAAGGTAGGTGAAACATGTAGTAGAAAAATTAAATCAAATGCCAAATGGTATTATTACATCAAATGTTGTCTCACTCTGAAATTTCAAACAACGTGAGATAGGGGGTTCTCTAGTTTAGTCTCCATATATAACGTGACAAATGTAAGCACATAAAAGCTCCTACATATCAATCAAGAGTCACACAATTTTTGGTTTTGTGCATGGTGCCAAAGTCTACTCTCATCCAGTGGCTCATTCCTTGGACAACGACTTATATCCACTGGGCTATACGCTCTTTTAGATGTGGAAATCTTGGATACCCAAATATAAGTCTTTAGTGACTGGTAGCTTTGACAATTAATACATATGCAGCGAAGACTTTGAGGGTCTCCATAGCATCCATTAGCAATCAGATAAGCTATTTGTGGTTTCTTTTTTCTTTTTGTTTTTCTTGTTTTGTTTTGAATGGGTGGTTGTTATTCATGGTTTCTAGCTAGTACATATATATCTTTAAGGTCAATAATCTATATATATCTTGGTATGTGGTGTTTAGTCTTTCACCACTTAATATACTCAACTTCTATATATGTGTAGAGTAACCTTAAGGACTATTAATGTCACACAAAAACGCATTAAGTACGAAATATGATAATTTCGCAAAACCTCAAGGACCATTTGCGATAAAAATAAAAGAACCAAAACTTAATTATTATTGTTTACCTGAGAGATTGTTGTATGTAACATCTATAGTCAGATTTCGAAATTCTCCTGATAACTCGGTTGAGTATCAAGTTTTGCACGTTTGAACTGAGTAGAATAATACCATTCAAATGATTCTCAGCAATATATAATGCCACAAATTTAGGAACTTTGGTGGTCCAAATTCAACGGAATTGGCCCAACAGAAAAAAGAAGTGGTTTGGACCTCAAGGCGGATCTCATTGTTAATGGACCAAAGTGGGAATGGGCCATGAAATTAATTATGACTTTAATCCAAAATCAGAGTACCCATATTGCAAGTTTGCTAGTCCAATCAGGTACATGGAATTGTATGCATTTTCTTGACTAAACTATAGTCTACTTTTTGGCTGCTTAAATTGTAATTCCATTTCGGAGAAAGTGGTTAGTTGGGCAAATGCTAGCCAATGCCAAGCTTCTCACTAATTATATATGGTGAGTGGTGGAAAGAAATTAACACATGATGATATTATTGAATTAGAATTACAAATTCTTTTTCTTTTCTTCATTAAAGGGTTCAGCAACGATATCATGGATGATTAATGATGTTGTCCCCAAATCTTTTTTCTTTTTATATTTTTGTTAATTAAACAAGTAAATACATTATTTAATTATATTATTTTAATTTTTATTAATATTTTATTCTACTTAAGCAAAAATAATGGGCCCTGCACATGACACATCATCACTTCAACTTCCGAGAGGCAATGTAAGATTTGATCATCTTAATTGACGTCTTTTTTCTCTTTTTCACATTAAGATATTTATTCTTTATTTTTTGTCACTAAAAGAGGAATTTGAATTTTAACCATCTTATCTTTCACAGTTGAAAAGGGAGGTGTTAGGTGTCTCTTGATTTCACTTTTCTAGTCGTAGTGATAAAGTTGGTCTAGTCTTTGAAGGAAGCCAGGACTAATTCAGACTAATAAAGACAGTCTTCAAAAAGACTAATTCAGAGTAGCATTATTCTTGTTGTTTTCTCCATTAATTGTTCTCAATATACTTTTGAACATATTTAACACATTAAGCTTGATTAGGAAACTTGATGAGTTGGATCCTAGTCATTGGGTTTTATTTATAGAAAAATAAAATGATGGGTTGTAGGTAAGAAAGTATTAACTTGAAGAGGAAAAGTCAAATTTACTAATTAATAACATAAAATAAAAAAATTCGTCATTTGCTAGCTAGGGAGGCGAGGGGCGTTGGAGAATTAGATTTGGTTGCCTCAAGATTGTCTTTTACGTAAATCAAACTCGTATGCACTAGTAAGGAGAAGGAGAGTTTGGCCCACTTGATGCACCCCACGTGCAAATATCAATGCTTCTTAATTGACGTCTTTTTTCTTCTTTTTTTGAATAAAAATATTTGTTCTTTCTTATTGTCACTGAAAGGGAAATTCGACTTTAGAGTATCTCATCTATCAAAGTTGAGGTGTTAGGTGTTACTTGCTAAATTGGTTATATAATTCATTTCATTAATGCACTTAGCCTCAAGTTTCAGCATTGTAGTGCGATTACGAGGCATTGTAGGAAACATATTTATTAAAAACTGAAATTAGTTACTAAACAAATTTCTTGATTTTAATTTTTTAATGATAGTGATAAAGTTGGTCTAGTCTTTGCTGGAAAGGACTTATTTGTGTTGCTGTAATGAATTGGATTGTAGAACCTAAAGGAAGCCAGGATAAATTCAAATTTCAAACTAATAAGGGTTATTGGTAACCAGAGAATTAGCATGACGTGCTACTACTGGACCCATAGAAAGACAGTCGTTAAAAAGAATTGCTTTCTGGGGATACGCAGGAAACATTGTCTGTTGCAAGTGGCTGTATTCAATTTTGGGTATCCGATTATGTGCAAGAGTTTTTGTGACTTTAAATTGATTTATTTATGTAGCTCAACACTGCAAGAGTTTTTTTATTTATTATTCGAATCAAATTCAAACCAGTTCAAATGAATCCCAATAAAAAAGCTAGACTAAATTAAGCTTTGAGTCTTATTAAGGTCATGTTAAAAACACCCCGCCCAACAATGATTAATGGACTATTATTTTGTCAAAACAAGAAACCAAATTGGTATTTAAAAATTTCCCAAGAAAAAAACACACATATATATAGAATGCATTACACTGTTTTATTGGGTCAAATTACAGTACATTATTAAACATGACAAAACTTTCTTTGCAAACGAGTCACTTTCACCACAAATGCTAGTGTTATCTTATCTTTGGTGTTGTCAAAAAATCGAAAATATGCATACCTCCATAATTTCTTCACAAGTAATGCACCACAAACGCTCCAAAAGCCCACGACAAAGCCAAGTACCATGCTAACATAGAACCACAACTTATCACTTCCATCTTCATCAGTGGCGGAGCTACAGCCAGGCCTGCCATGGCCCTGGCCCCCCACTTAATTATTAATCTCTTGTAATATATTATAAAATATATGATATAGTAATACAAAAACTGCAATTAGATTAGTGATGGCCCTCCCAGTTGAAGATTAAAAACCTAGTAGAAGTGATTTTGAAATTTTGGCCCCTCCATACTAAGAATCCTAGCTCCGCCACTGGTCTTCAATACTGAGTTTTGCATCTGTGGCAGCAAAAGTGTCATCTTCGGGGCATTTTGTTGGAAGAGGAACCCCACACAATATGCATTTTATTTTTTAATGGTAAGTGAAACATGTAGTAGAAAAATTAAATCAAATACCAAATGCAAAATGGTGTTTACATTAAATGTTGACCCACCCTGAAATTTCAAACAACGCAAGATAAGAGTTCTCTAATCTAGTCTCTATATATAACGTGACAAGTTTAAGCACATAAAAAGCATACATCAATCAAGAGTCTCACAATTTTTGGTTTTGTGTGTGGTTCCAAACCCTGCTCTCATCAAGTGGCTCCTTTCCTGGACAACGACTAACATCCACCGGGCTATATACTCTTTTAGATGTGAAAATCTTGGATATCCAAACATAAGTCTTTGGTGACTGGTAGGTTTAAGAATTAATACATATGCAGCGGAGACTTTGAGGGTCTCCATAGCATCCATTATATATATCTGTGTGTGTCTTAAGATGTTAATTTCGCGAACCTCATGAACCATTTGCGATAAAAATAGAAGAACTAGTGAAATGAAATAGTTACTTATTTTTCATTAAAATACAGTGAAAATAAAAAACAAAAAACATCACATGGTACATAAATTTCATAGTTACCCAAGTGTAGTGAATTCAAGAACCTTTTTTTATTGCAATTGCTAGCCTTCCCTTATCTATATTCCTTATGTTATCAAACCGTAACTTGTTCACAAATAAGGTGCCATGCTAACATATAGTAGAACCAAAACATAATTATTATTGTTTGTCTGAGAGATTGTTGTATTTGAAATATGTGCGAGGTTCAGTATACGGGCTAATCCAGGACTAATTCAAACTAATTAAGGTGTGGTAACTAGATAATTAACGGGACATGCTCCTACTGGACCCCAAGAAAGCCATATATGGGCTTTGTTGGTGAGCTTGTAACCAATTAGCGAATGTGGTGGGTGACCCAGGGTGTTTGCTAATAGTAGTGGTTTGTTGGTGAGCTTGTGACCAATTATAAATATATGGGCTTTTGCTTGGTACCCAGTCCAAAAATGATTGATGGACTATTATTTTGTCAAAATATAAAACCAAATTGGTATTTAATCCAAATTTTCCCAAGAAAAACAAACATGTGTATAGAATGCATTACACTGTTTTATTGGGTCAAATTATAATACACTACTAAACATGACGAAACTTTCTTTGCAAACGAGCCACTTTCAACGCAATTGCTAGTGTTACCTTATCTTTGGTGTTGTCCAAAAATTGAAAATAAGCATACCTCCATGATTTCTTCATGAGTAATGTGCCACAAACACCCCAAAAGCCAACAATAAAGCCAAGGATCATGCTGACATAGAACCACAACGCTCCATTATCACTTCCATCTTCATTACTGGGTTTTGCATTTGTAGGAGTAAAAGTGTCATCTCCGGGGCATTTTTTTGGAAGCGGAACCCCACACAATGATGGATTGCCCATATATATGGACGGATCAGTGAACGTTTGAAATTGGTTGCCCAAAGGAATTCTCCCCACCAAGTTGTTATAAGCCAAATGCAAGTGCGCCAAGAATGTTAAAGATGCAAGGGTTTGAGGAATCTGTCCTGAAAGATAGTTGTTTGAGAGATCAAGAGTTTCGAGCCCATGCATATTTCCAACCTCTGAGGGGATCTTACCAGTCAACTGATTTCTCGACAAGTTCAAGGTACCCAAAAAAATGAGGCTACCTATCTCTTGAGGGATTTCACCTTCCAAAAAATTTGATGAAAGATCAATGCTCTTTACCAGCATCAGAGTGGTGTTATACACGAGTTCTTGTCCTTTTAATGTCAGCGTGGTTTGCTCATTATATATTATATGTGATTCATTGGAATCATCACGAAGAAGCGCAGTCAAATTATTGAAACAGGTGGGAATAGTACCTGAAAAGTTGTTGTGGCTGAGGTCGAGGATGTGAAGGTTGCCAAGATTGCACAATTGTCTGGGAATTTGTCCAGTAAAAAAGTTGGATCGCAATCGTAACATGTACAACATGGATACATTTGATCCTCCTATCCATGGAGGTATGCTCCCAGATAATTTGTTGCCTCCAAGATCGATACTTTTCAAAACTGAGCAATTGTGCAAAGAATGTGGAATCTTACCGCCAAAATTGTTGTTGTTTAGCTTCAATATTTGAAGAGAACTTAATACTCCCATTGAAGTGGGAATATTACCAGAGAGATTGTTGTAGGCAGCATCTACAATTCTTATTTGGCTCCCCGAACTCCATGCGTGAGGGAATTCTCCAGAAAAATGATTGCTCCTCAGGGAAAGGATTATTAGGTTTTGTATGTTGCAAATAGAAGGTGGAATTGTACCATTCAAATAATTCTCTGAAAGATACAATTCTTCCAATTTGGGCATCAGCTTGTCAAAATTGGAGGGGATTGGCCCGGAAAATAAATTGCTTTCAAGATCAAAGGAAGATGCATTAGTGGACCAAAGTGGGAGTGGTCCCTCAAATTGATTATGATCCAAACTTATTCTTCTTAAATTCGGAAATCTCATCAATTTGTTGGATGAAAGCCTTCCTCGGAATTCGTTGTAAGATAAATTAAGGTATGTGAGTTGGGAAGATAGCTTCAACAACCATTCCTCTGGTATAGAATCTGATATTCCAGTTCTACTAAGGGTGACATGTGCCAGTTCAGTCTGAGATCGAAGCCATACCCCAAAACCAGGACCTACTTTACAGTTGAAAATATTAATTGAGTGGAGCTTGAAAGGAGGAACCCAATCATAAGACACGTTGAAAACAAGGGACATGGGCTTTTGTATGTCATCGAACTCGTTTCCTATTGAAAGCCTTTTCAAGTTGGTGAGATTAATGAAATGGGCTTCCGTTATATTGCCTTCATAATAATTCTGAGACAGACGGAGTACAACTAGCGCGGAGAGTTGTCCTAGACTTTGTGGAATGGACCCGTTCATGTAATTATCAGTGAGGTCCAAATACTGCAAACTTTTTAACATTCCTAAGGAGGCCGGCAATTGGCCTTCCAGCCTGCAACTAGACAAATCTAGTGAGACTAATACTAGTGTATTATTTGGACAATTTGACAAACTCCCCCAAAACTCTGCAATCCCCCCACCACTAAAATCGTTCCACCCAAGATTTAATGTCCTTAGCTTGCATAAGTTTCCAAGGACTCTGGGAACTCCACTATCTTCGAGCTCCGAATGAGTTAAATCTAGGTATTCAAGAGATTTGAGGTTTCCAAGTTCAACTGGAAAATGAGCACCGAAAGAATTGCTGTATAGATCAAGTCTTTTGAGGCTAGTAAGATTGAAAATCCAGCTGGGAAATGAAGAAGTATTGAAATGATTAAATGAAAGATCAAGGACCGAAAGTGAGGTGAAGTTAATCCTCTGTAGAGATAGTGGATGGCTTACTAATCCGCAACCAGATAAGTGTAACTCCAGTAAGGAAGGAAGCATGTTAACAACATGCAGCCAATTTGTGTTGTTATGAAGATCCACTCCAATGAGATTGAGGTATTTTAGGGAAGAGAGATGAGAAAGCCAATTCAAGTTTTTGGAAGAGAGATATGAACCACCGATGTCAAGATAGTTCAAGTTTGATAAGTTACCAAGAGAAGGGGGAATCTCTCTGCCAAACTCTGCAAAGGAGATATTGAGATACCTCAGAGTTTTAAGCTCTCCAAAGAAGTTAGGAATGTGGATCCCTTGAAAACCATTGCAACTTAAGTCCAGGTAATGCAAGTGTTTCAAGCTAAGCAAAGAAGGATTTATCTTACCCCCCAAGCAAGACTGCTCAAAAGCCAACTCGTCCCACTCTTCATCAGTCGTGGACTCGTAATATGTATTGCGGAGATCCATTTGGGAAACATGACCGGTGCGGTTGTTGCATGAAATCCCTTCCCAACGGCAGCAATCATGACCCACCCAAGAAGAAAGCCTACCAGAGGGATCAGTAAGATCTTGTTTGAAGCTCACAAGTGCTTTCCTTTCTTCCTCAATGCATATTGATTTCGGTTTCACAGCAGTACTGGTTGCAAGTCCAATACCCAATAAGCACAACGAAAGGAGCAAATAGTGAGAAATATTGATGAGGTGATGGATTTTCATTTTTTTGGGAATCAAGTTTTCTGAATTTGATGAAGATGAGCACACAAGAAGTGGACTCGATGATGCATTTATACAAGCAGGCTGGTCGCGCGTGTAAAAATGAAACCCAAAATCAACGGTCCAAGTCCTCAACCCATTTTGCAAGGTTGCAAGTCCAATCAGGTACATGGAATTATCATGAATCATGATTATATTTTTCATTTCTCCTTTTTTTTCGTTAATACATTACTCATGAATCATGATATGCCCAAATATTTCTTCTTCTTTTTTCATTTTTTAATGGTAAGTGAAAAAAATTCTCTCTAGCGTTTTCTAGGGTTTTCTATTGTTGAGTTTAATAATTAACTTCATGCAAATAAATACCAAATTTAAATCAAAAGATAAATAAAGTTTATAGTAAATTTGACTTACACCCTTCAAATTCAATTTGCCGTATCTAAAACCCTTCACTTTTTGTTCCTATAAATAATACCCAATTTGTATAAGTAAAAACCCATGACTATGATCCAACTCAGCAAGTTACCTAATTAAGCATAAAATCTGATTTATTGTACTTTTCAGATTCCAAAAATACCCCCAACTAAGCCATTATTGCATTTTGTATATTAATGTAGGAATCAATATGGAAACAGTTTTTAATTGGATTGTATATAATGACAAATGTTGAATTTGGAAAGATCTCCAAATAGTTGTAATGGATGTAGGAATTAATTTTGAAACATTTTTAAAAAAATTTAACAATAAATTCAAATTTGGGTAATGGGTTTGTTTAATAAAATGTTTATGTTATTTTCTTTTTATGAATTATACATGACTAATAATCCACTTTATAATTGTTTATGAATAAAACTGAACATACTACTATTACTTGTTTGTTTTATGAAAAATATAATTTACCTAGTATGAAAAGTGTACATAATTCTCTATTCCAATATACCTACATTATACGACATCCAATATACCTATTATTTGTTTTATTAAAAGTAATTTTTTTAAATGAACCTATTTTCTCTCTCCAAATAACTTACATATACACATTTACAGGTATATTGTAAAATAATTTACCTGTGGGTAAATAATGAACCTGTATTTTATATAAATTATTGTGTACCTATTTTTAATTATGAAAAATATACGCAATTACAAAGTAACTGACTTTGTTTTTTTTTTTTGGGTAAATAATATACCTATATTTTATATGTATATATTTATATTATATTTTTCATAGGTACATTATTGGATATGTAATTTACAGATTTTTTGTTTGTTTGCAATTTTAGGGGGCGAGATGTGAGAGGGAATGACAACTAAAAGAAATGGGGTGATTGATATGCTATTAATAGGGAGTATATTCATTACAATTATGGCAGTTAATGAAATGCTTGAAATAAATTATAAATAAAATATGAAGTTTAGTGGCAACGATGTAAAACCATAGAAATACTATGACCTCTTATATTATACTGGTCATTTAAATTTGAAATTGGATTTTACACATAGATTTATAGAGTGATGGGTATATGTCTAGGAAATAGAAAATGTAGGAATCTATATTGGACAAGCTCATAAAAATGTAGAAATTGCACCGAAGACTTTGAGGGTCTAGCATTCATTAGCGATGAAATAAGTTATTTGTGGTTTCTTTTTTCTTTTTCTTTTTCTTTTTCTTGTTTTGTTTTGAATGGGTTGTTGTTATTCATGATTTCTAGCTAGTACATATATATCTTTAATGTCAATAGTCTATATATTATAAGTCTTGGTATGTACACATGTGTTTAGTCTTATACCACTTATTCTCAGCAAGATACAATGCCGCAAATTGTGGAAATTGTTGGTCCAAATTCAATGGAATTGGCCCCAAAAAAACAAAAAGAATTGGAATTGCAGTGAGTCGGTTGTAAAACAAATTCAAACAATAGACTGGAAGATATTTAGAAGAACCGGTAGTCTTCTGTCATGGAATCTGAGATTCCAGTACCGTGAAGTTTGACAAAGACAAGTTGAGTTTGAGATGGAGCATATATTAAGGGACGGGATGGTCGGAGAAGAAGAAAAAAAAAAAAAAAAAAAAAAAAAAAATGGAATCATGTGTATTTAGCATATATTTTTATGAGCTTGTCCAATATAGATCCCTACATTTTCTATTTCCTAGACATATACCCATCACTCTATAAATCTATGTGTAAAACCAAATTTCAAATTTAAATGACCAGTAGGATATAAGAGGTCGTAGTATTTTTATGTTTTTACATCATTGCCACTAAACTTCATATTTTATTTATAATTTATTTCAAGCATTTCATTAACTGCCATAATTGTAATTAATATACTCCCTATTAATAGCATATCAATCACCCCATTTCTTTTAGTTGTCATTCCCTTTCACATCTCGCCCCCTAAAATTGCAAACAAAAAAAAAAATCTGTAAATTACATATCCAATAATGTACCTATGAAAAATATAATATATATATATATATACATATAAAATATAGGTATATTAAAAAAAAAAAAAAAAAAAAAAAAAAAACAAAGTTACTTTGTAATTGCGTATATTTTTCATAATTAAAAATAGGTACACAATAATTTATATAAAATATTGGTACATTATTTACCCATAGGTAAATTATTTTACAAACTACCTATAAATATGTATAGGTACATTATTTGGAGAGGAAAAATAGGTACATTATTAGAGGAAAAAAATAGGTAAGTTATTTGGAGAGAGAAAATAGGTTCATTTAAAAAAATTACTTTTAATAAAAAAATAATAGGTACTTTATTCAGAGAAAAAAGGCTATATTATTTATAGAAAAAATAGGTACATTATTTAGATAAATAATAGGTACTTTATTCGTAGTAGGTATATTATTCAAATGGTAGGTATATTGGATGACATATAATACCTAAATCCTAATTGTAAGTACATTAAAATTAATGTAGGTATATTGGATGTCATATAATGTAGGTATATTGGAATAGATAATTATGTACACTTTTCATACTAGATAAATTATATTTTTCATAAAACAAACAAGTAATAGGTACATTATTTTTTCAACATAATTAGTATGTACAATTTTATTCATAAACAATTATAAAGTGGATTATTAGTCATGTATAATTCATAAAAAGAAAATAACATAAACATTTTATTAAACAAACTGATTACCTAAATATGAATTTATTGTTAAATTTTTTTAAAAAATTTTCAAAATTAATTCCTACATCCATTACAACCATTTGAAGATCTTTCCAAATTCAACATCTGTCATTATATACAATCCAATTAAAAACGGTTTCCATATTGATTCCTACATTAATATACAAAATGCAATAATGGCTTAGTTGGGGGTATTTTTGGAATATGAAAAGTACAATAAATCAGATTTTATGCTTAATTAGGTAACTTGCTGAGTTGGATCCTAGTCATGGGTTTTTACTTATACAAATTGGGTATTATTTATAGGAACAAAAAGTGAAGAGTTGTAGGTACTGCAAATTGAATTTAAAGGGTGTAAGCCAAATTTACTATATTTTTATTAACTTTATTTTATTTTATTGTGTCTTTGAATTTACAATGCGTCAAGTTGTTATTCTCTTAGGAAGTTCTTTGGTCTTGTTTTGTTCTACGTATATATATACGTTGAGAAGCACTTAACTGAATTATCAGACCAATTAATATATTAAGATTTGTGATGAATTAATATTATATAGTAAATTTGGTCCCCTCAAAATTGAATTTTCCTTAACAACCCATCACTTTTTGCTCGATCATATTAATCAACCCCATTTTTTACAAATAAAAACATGACTAGGATTCAACTCATCAAATTACTTTATCAAGCTCAATATATAATTTATTATAATTTTCAGATGGCTAAAATACCCCGTCGTCTTTGTAATTATAGTTTGAGTAATGTTACTCTTACCATATTTGTATACCACATTCTCATACCACCTTCTGTGACGGATAAAGTAAACAGTCATATTAATTAAAAAGTATCAATAAATCATAAAAGAAAAGAAAATGTTAAACTAATTTTAATTGATATGATTGTCCAACTTATCTACCTCACCCAAAATCCTACCATAACACAGCCACATTCCATATTCGGACCAGGGAGAGGTGGTGAATTTGGGGCTGTGGTGGGTCTGAACGTGGAATAGAAAGTGCTAGTATAGCCCGGCGGCCATACCTTTTAAATATATTATATTACATTTTCCTTATTTTTCTTAATACTATACCTTCTAAAATGTCAAATTTACCCTTATATTTGACGGCCTTTGGATGGAATTGTGAAAATGCTAATGACAAGGCTGAAATTGGCGAATAAATTTAATACAAGGGCTAAATTGGCTGAAAAATTAACTCATGATCGAGATTTCGACAAGCGTGATAGTTCGGAGGGTATTCAGCAGTTTACCCTATTATTAATGATAGGAAAGGGTTACATCAGAAACTAAAACATCAAATGGTGTTTTATATGTGCTTACATTTAGGAAATTTTTTAGGGTAAATTTAAGTAAGTCACGTTTTGGGCCTATTGAATCTATGAAGAAACATTTAATATACCTATCACATTTTAACGTAAATTTAAGTAAGTCACGTTTTGGGCCTATTGAATCTATGAAGAAACATTTAATATACCTATCACATTTTAACATAAATTAATGTACCTAGACCTTAGGTCCTTCCATTTTCTCCTTCCTAGACATATGCACATCACTCTATAACTCTGTGTGTAAAACTCAATTTCAAACTTATATATATGTAAAAAAAAATATAAGTATATTATTTACACACAAATAAAATTAAAAAAAACTAAGTCAATTACCTTGTAATTGAAATTTCTGTACCTTTTTCATAAATTAAAAATAGATACATAATAATTTATAGAAAATATAGGTACATTATTTATAAAAATAAATATATTTATATAGGTATACTATTTATGCACACAGAGATTGGGTCAGAAAATAGGTACGTTAGGTCTTTTTTTATTATTATTTATTTATTTATGTTTTGTATTAAATTTTTTCTATTATAAGTATAATTAATTTTGAAATATATAATATACCTATAATATGTCTAATATATACCTATAAATAAGTATCGGTAAATTATCTAACAATATACCTATAAATGCGTATAGGAAAATTATTTATCCATATATTTTTTTTTGTGCTAAGGATTTACCTTAGTTTGTTGTATATTAATTTACCTACGTACCTAGAGGCATAGGTTGCTAAGGAAAATGTAGGTAAACTTCATGTATCCTAAACATGTTATTTTCACTTTGAACAAATTAATTTCAAACTATAAAAATCATTAAATTGGTATAAATAAAAGGAAATAAATAAGCTATCAATTTTAAAAATTAAAATACTGAAATCGTATCAAGTAAAAAAAAAAAAAAAAAAAAAAAAAAAAAACAAAAAAAAAAACGAGTATATTCTTGTCTTTTATAGGAACAACGAGTATATTCAAACTATATAAATTGAAACACAATTAATCGGCATTGAGAAATAATTGGTCAGTTTGGCAAATTCTAGCGCCATGGTTCTCTTTCTGTCCCTGCAGTGCGCTATATCAATTGACATTGCTATCTGTGCTGGCCCACCTTGAGATGACAAAGAACGTGAACGAGGGGGCTTTCTAGTCTCCATCACGTGCCAGTACCAAACAAATGCCCCGGCGGACACACACGGGTTGACACCGCAAAGGAAAGGGATTGAGAATACACAAGATTCCAGGTCCAAGTCCTGAACCCATTTTGCAAGTTTGCAAGTCCAATCAGGCACATGGAATTATATGCATTTTCTTTACTAAACTGCGTGTACTTTACTTTGACTGCTCAAATTGTAATTCCATTTCGGAGAAAGTGATTGTTGGTCCCCAAATGCGCATGGTTGGCTTCTTACTTTTGCATGAAACCCGACTTGGCACAATTTCCACAAGTTAGAATAGAAGAATCAGAAATTGCTTTACCACTTGTTTTATGGTTGATATCGTATTATGCATGAAACCTGACAGAGCCACAATGTTTTCTTTAGTACTCATGATGCTGTTATGGCCAAATATTCACTTTTATTTATGCTATTTTGACACAAATGGGTATTCAGTTTTATTTTTATTTTTTAATGGTAAGTGAAACATGTAGTAGGAAAATTAAATCAAATGCCAAATGCAAAATGATGTTTACATCAAATGTTTACTCACCCTGAAATTTCAAACAACGCAAGATAAGAGTTCTCTAGTCTGGTCTCTATATATAATGTGACATGTTTAAGCACATAAAAAACATACATCAATCAAGAGTCTCACAATTTTTGGTTTTGTGTGTGGTGCCAAAGCCTGCTCTCATCAAGTGACTCTTTTCCTGGACAACAACTAACATCCACTGGGCTATATACTCTTTTAAATGTGGAAATCTTGGATATCCAAATATAAGTCTTTGGTGATTGGTAGGTTTAAGAATTAATACATTTGAGGAATCCATCAATTGAAGGGGACTGATATATATACATAAATTAATAAAAAATATTGATTATTAATTTATGAGGAGCCACTAGGAGTCTTTTATCTCTCCTTAGGAGCTCTTAGATGTCTCCCTATTTTAGGAGGTGATTAGGGAGTGTGATTGGAGTTATATTTTTCCAATTCATCTCTAAAATTTGTCTAAGAAAGCGGTTTCGAGAGCCCATTATAAATGCTTAAGTAGAAGAAAAAAGAAAAATCTAATGCCAAATGCCAAACGGTTTGTATTTACACCCTGAAAATGATTTTTATCTTCAGATTCTCTACGTTGTTTGCTGCTCAAATTGTAAGTCCATTTTTGAGAAATAATTGTTCAGTTTGTCAAATTCTAGCCATTGTTCTCACTCTATCTCTGCACTATATGATGTCTGTATCAATTGACATTACCATATGTGCTGGCCCACCTTGAAATTACAAAGAACGTGAGCGAGGGGGCTTTCTAGTCTCCACATGGCTTCACATCACAGTAGAAAGGGATTGAGGATACACAAGATTCCAAGTCCAATCAGGTACATGGAATTTTATCCACTTTCATGACTAAACTGTAGTTGTCTACTTTTCAAATTGTAATTCCATTTCGGAGAAAGTGATGATTGTTGGTCCCCAAATGATGGTTGGCTTCTTACTTTTGCATGAAATCTGGCACAATTGCCACAAGTTACAATAGAAGAATCAGAAATCGCTTTACCACTTTTTTTTATGGTTGATATCGTATTATGCATGAAACCTGATAGAGCCACAATGTTTACTTTAAGGCAAAAAGTCACTTTTGGTTTCTATAGTTTGTCGCTTTTACAACTTTGGTTCATATCGTTTCAATTTGGTCAATTTTGTCCCTGTACTTTCTATTTCGATCAATTCAAGGACAATTGTGATTTTCTGTTAAATTTCTTTAACGCCCGTCATGTTTTGGTCCTATGCCCCTCACGTGGAGGGGCAATTTCGTCAAATCGTGCCCACCTAAAAGCTGCCCTTTCTCTTTCATCTTCAGACCTTAAAAAAATAAAATAAAAATAAATAATAAAAAAGGAAAGAAAGAAAAAGCTGCGCGTTTCTCTATTATACTCAAGTCGGACTTTGGGAAACAAAAAGAAGATACAATTCGGTAAATTTCGAAACAAGAGGGTTTAGGGTTAAACAAGGTGAGATTATTTTGCTGGATTTAGACTTTCACGTCATCAACAATGAAGAAGAGAGGTGAAGGAAGTGGATGCAGGAATAAACAAGGTGAGAGCTCGATTTTTAAATTAATTTCAAGTTGGTTTGGGATCTTTATTCAATTGTTTGGGGCTTTCAATATTCCAAGTTGTTTGGGCTTTCAATGCATTGTTTATTCAATTGTTTTGGTGATCAATATTCCGAGTTAGTGCTGGAGTTGTGGGTTTGTCATATTTTGATTTTTTGCTTTGTCAGATTCTTGTTTTTAAAAGGTGTAGTGTAGTGGGTTAAGACTTGTCTCTTAGTGGAATGGTTGCTGGAAAAAGTTAAAGACTTTAGGAAGTCAATGAATAAATATGGTACCTGTATTTGTTGTGGTCCCCCCTTATTTGCATAAAGTTCCTCCTATTTGCATGAAGTGTACGAGATACATGCATTTCAATTATATAAACGTTGTTTCTATCAAAAAAATTCAGACATTGGGGTACCCCAATTTCCTTATACCGGAGCATTTGATGAGGTCCCAGATGAGTTTTTTGATGAGCTTTTTAGTCAAGAATTACAGGTGACTCAAGTCAATGTACAAGTGGGGAATGAAAATGTAGGAACTGTAGAGGTTCCTATGCATTCTCAAATTGCTGAGAATGTTGTTCATGAAGAGGATAGAGAAAAGGAGAGTAGTGAAGAAGAGGGTAGTGAAGAAGACACTTATGTTGAGGGTAGGAGGAGGAGAATAGAGGATAGTGGTGATGAGTCAGATAAGGAAATCTATGAAACCGACAATGACGCTGCCCTAGATGACAATGACTTGTTTGATGCAAATATACAGTCCAAATTTGGAAGAGTAGGAAATACTTATCTGCCTATGGATTTTGTGGCTTTTAAGGATGAAGAAGACAGTGATGGTAACAACTCAGAGAAAGGATTTCACTATCCTAACAATTCTTCAAGTGAGGAAGGTGAAAGGAGGAGGAAATATCCAGAGTTTTGCAAGGAAGAATTGAATAACCCTAAGTTTGAAAATGGAATGTTATTTGGAAGTAAGGAAGACTTGAAAACAACTTTGAAGAATTATTCAGTGATGGGCAACTATGCAACTAAATTTGTGAAAAATGATAAGAGGAGGCTCACTGCAAAGTGTAGAAACTGCACTTGGATGTTGCATGCTTCCTTTATGCAACTAGAGCAAATCCTGCAGATCAAGAGCTTTAATGACAAGCATACTTGCTTGCTAACTCCTACTAACCCACATGTCAACTGTGTGTATATTGCTAAAAAAATATTTCGGTCGTATTATGGATGAGCCTGAGATAAAGTTAAAGAATTTAAGAAAGGTAGTGAAGAGGGATTTAGGGTATAATGTATCACATAGTCAGTGTTCTAGAGCGAAGAAGAAAGCCATGGAGATAATCGAAGGGACTTACAAGGAGCAATACTCAAGGTTGTGGGAGTATTGTGATAAGGTGAAAGCAACTAATGTTCGGAGCACAATGAATATAAGGGTAGAGTCCCATCCACATTTTCAGAGGCTTTATGTATGCCTTGATGCATGCAAGAAGGGATTTTTGGCTGGTTGTAAACCCATCATAGGAGTTGATGGATGCCACTTGAAGGGCCCTTTCTCAGGGCAATTGTTAGCTGCAGTGGGGGTTGATGCTAATGATAACATCTACCCCATTGCATATGCTGCTGTTGAGTTGGAAACTAAAGAGACATGGAGCTGGTTTTTGGAGCTGTTAATTGGTGATCTTGGTCCTGTAAGCGACCATGGATGGATATTCATATCTGATCAACAAAAGGTATGGTTTCAACATAGGGATAATTATTATTTGATTGATGTGAGATTATTTTTTTGCACCTACTAATTGCTATCTGATTATTGTTTTATAGGGACTTGACAAAGAATTTGACATTGTAGTGCCTGCAGCACAACATAGGTGGTGTGTTAAGCACATGTATGGGAACTTCAAGGAAAAGTTCAAAGGCAAAGTGTTCAAGGATCTGTTATGGAGTGCAATTAGGGCTTCTAACAGGTACGAGTTTGAGGTTGAGATGAATAAGTTGAAAGATTTGAATTCAGGAGCTTATGAATGGTTGATGGGAAAAGACCTAGATAAATGGGCTAGGCATAGGTTTAGTACTGCTCGTAAGTGTGACATGTTATTAAATAACATGTGTGAGACCTTTATTTGCTACATTTTGGATGCTCGAGATAAACCTATACTAACTATGCTTGAAATGATAAGGTGTAACCTTATGAAAAGGTTGCAAATGAAGAGGGAAGCCATGTCAAAACATGATGGGGTCATTTGTCCTAAAATTCAAAAGAAGTTGGAACAGATCAAGATAAATTCATCTAGGAATTGTATGGCAACTCAAGCTGGACCCTATGAATTTCAAGTGGGGGAGTATTTACATGATCAACATGTGATAGATATAGCTTCTAAGACATGTAGTTGTAAGAGGTGGGATCTTAACGGCATCCCTTGCATCCACGATGTTGCTGCCATATATCTCTATAGGGCTAAACCTGAAGATTATGTGGCTGAATGTTATCACAATGCCACTTACTTAAAAGCTTATGAGCCAATCATCCATCCTGTGAAAGGCTTTAACATGTGGCCTAAGTCAACTGAAATACCACTCTTACCTCCAATTGTTAGAAAACAACCGGGGAGACCAAAGAGGAGCAGAAAAAAGGATATTGAAATGGAGAAGGGAGTTTATGCAAATGGTACCAAGCTCAAGAGGTATGGGATTGTGACTTGCACCAAGTGTTGGAAAAAAGGTCACAACAAGAGGAATTGCTCCAATCAGCCACAAGACCCTCCACCTGGTACTTACATTGATAAAAGATGGGGTCTTCCCCCCCTCTTTGAAGAAAAGGAGACCTAATACCTCTACAAATGTGCAATCTGGTTTTCCAATAAATGTAGTTGTTGATGTGCATTCTGGTTCAACTGTTGTGGCATCTTCTGCAATCAATGTAGCTGTTAACGTGGAATCAAGGCAAGTGGTTGCACCTACTAATGCACAAAGAAAAAAACTCACAGCAAGTTTTTTTTTCATAATTAATGTCATACATAATTTTACAAGTTTCTTACTTCACCAATGATTCCACAAGTTTATTCCTATGCAGATAAAGAGAAGGTCAAATGTCAATCACCAAGGACAAGCTGCTCCAAGAAGTGAATGGTTGATACAGACTCTATTTTGTTGTGAATGCAAACACTAAAGTTGGGTTGGAATGAAGTTGTGAATGAAGACAATATGATTTTGGAGAAGAATATTTTGTTTAGAAACTGTGTTTGCATTCAAAACATGATGAATATTCTGTTAATTTGGAGATGAATATTTTGTGTAGAAACTGTGACTGAAGTTGTGAATTTGGATATGAATATTTTTACTGAAGTTGTGAATTTGGATATGAATATTTTGTTATGAAGTTGTGAATTTGGTCATGAATATTTTGCTTTCAATTTCTGTATGAAACAGCTTCTGAAGATTTCTTCCAAAACAAGGATATGATGATTGATTATTTGTACATGTTATGATGATTGATTATTTGTAATTTCTTCCAAAACAAGGATATGATAATTGATTATTACAAATGAAAATCATATGTAAAATGGGTGATGATGATTGATTATTTGTACTTTTAAATACCACTCTTTTTGTCTCTTTCTTTACTTTCTCATTATCTTTGTTCTTCGTCCTTGCTAAGAACAAGCACTGTCTTAGTTTGAACACGTAGAGAGAGAGAGAGAGAGAGAGAGAGAGAGAGAGAGAGAGAGAGAGAGTTGTGTGTTTGTGGGTATTTTGAGGATGATTGAGTGGGAGAAGCTGCAACAGAAAACGCATGAAATGGATGGGCGCAGGCAAATGGGAAGTAAAATATTCAGTACAATATTCAGTACAATATTCAGTTCAGTTTCAAATCAAATTCATTACCAAATTCATAATCAACAAAACACAAATTAGAAGTAAAAATCCACAAATGACAAGCAACAGATCCCTAATTCCATTTTCCAAATTGACATTAGCTCCTTGTAATCTTTTGGGCTTTTTCACTTCATCTTCTTCAGCTCCTCTAGTTGGTTCATTCTCTTTCATCAAATGCCCATTGTTGATCTCATCATCCCATAGAAATCCAGCACAGTAAAGTGTTCCCTGTTCAAACATGCAAAAAACAAAACACTAAAACACACATACCCATTTACATCCCAAAAAAATCACAGAAAAAAAACTTTTCACCTTACATATGATGTATTGCACTTCCAGAATCGTCTTCCACGACTCTTATCAGTCTTTGAAGTTGCTATTCTCATTTCACCATTGCAAAATAGGCATTTTGGAGCTTGGCTGGCAACAGATTTTGACATTTCGAAGAACCCAGGACTGAAATTTTTTGAAGAACCCCAACCCACCATCCCAAAGTTGCATCTGAAGCTGAAAGGAGAGAGGGCAGCTTTTAGGTGGCCACGACTTGACGAAATTGCCCCTCCACGTGAGGGGCACGTGACCAAAACATGACGGGCAATAAAGAAATTTGACAGAAGATCACGATTGTCCTTGAATTGCTTGAAATTGAAAGTACAGGGACAAAATTGACCAAATTGAAACGACATGGACCAAAGTGGTAAAAGCGGCAAACTACGGGGACCAAAAGTGACTTTTTGCCTTACTTTAATACTCATGATGCTATTATGGCCAAATATTCACTTTTATTTATGCTATTTCGACACAAAAGGATTTTTAGTTTTATTTTCATTTTTTAATGGTAAGTAAAACATGTAGTAGAAAAAATAAATCAAATGCCAAATGCCAAATGGTATTTACATCAAATGTTGTCCCACCTTAAAATTTCAAACAACGTGAGATAAGAGTTTTTTAGTCTAGTTTCCACATATAACGTGATTAACAAGTTTAAGCAAATAAAAGCTCATACGCCCCTAGACCTCGGCCTACATATGTATCAAGAATCTCACAATTTTTGGTTTTTTGCTCGCATCAATTATGATCGTTGTGACTAAAGCCTTCTCATGCAGTGGCATATCTTCCTTAGACAATGACTTACATGCATCGGGCTATATACTCTTTTAGATGTGAAAATCTTTGATCCAATAAGTCTTTGGTGACGGGGATGTTTGAGAATTAATACATATACAGCAAAGACTTTGAGGGTCTCCATAGTATCCATTAACGATCAGATAAGTTATTTGTGGTTTCTTTTTTCTTTTTGTCTTTCCTATTTTGTTTTGAATGGGTTGTTGTTATTCATGGTTTCTAGCTAGCACTTATATATCTTAAAGGTCAATGGATATAAGTCTTGGTCTGTGTACATGTGTTTAGTCTTGCACCACTTAATATACTCAACTTCTATACATGTATTCGATAATGAATAACCTTAAGGACCATTAATGTTACCCAAAAAAAAATTAAGGACAAAAGAAGATAGTTTTACGAATTTCAACAACCATTTGGAATAAAAATAGAAGAACTAGTGAAATGAAACAGTTACTTTTTTTTAAAATTACAATACAGGGAAAATAAAAAAAACAAAAAACATCACATGGTACATAGATGTGCGAGGTTCAATATACGGTTAATCCAGGACTAATTCAAACTAATTAAGGTGTGGTAACCAGATAATTAGCGGGACGTGCTCCTACTGGACCCCAAGAAAGCCATATATGGGCTTTGTTGGTGAGCTTGTAACCAATTAGCGAATGTGGTGGGGAATCGGGGCGGTTGCTAATAGTAGTGGTTTGTTGGTGAGCTTGTGACCAATTATAAGTAGGGAGTTTCACTAAAACATCCAAAATGGGGGCTAAAATTATAAAAAAATCCAACACCCAAAACACTTTATAAACACACCCAAAACCCATCATTACACACACTCAAAACCCATTTATAAACACACCAAAAAAATATACAATTGTTGATTTTGGGGTTGATTTTGGGTGTGTTTCTATGTTTAAATAGTGCTTGGGTTTTTTTATAAATACATGTCTAGGATTGGGTTTATTTATAAATTTGTATTATAGTATTATAAATATATGGGCTTTTGCTTGGTACCCCGTCCAAAAATGATTGATGGACTATTATTTTGTCAAAATAAAAAACCAAATTGGTATTTAATCCAAATTTTCCCAAGAAAAACAAACATGTGTATAGAATGCATTACACTGTTTTACTGGGTCAAATTATAATACACTACTAAACACGACGAAACTTTCTTTGCAAACGAGCCACTTTCAACGCAATTGCTAGTGTTACCTTATCTTTGGTGTCATCCAAAAATCGAAAATAAGCATACCTCCATGATTTCTTCAGGAGTAATGTGCCACGAACACCCCAAAAGCCAACAATAAAGCCAAGGATCATGCTGACATAGAACCACAATGCTCCATTATCATTTCCATCTTCATTACTATGTTTTGCATTTGTAGCAGTGAAAGTGTCATCACCCGGGCACTTTGGAAGAGGAACCCCACATAGTGATGGATTGTCCATATAAATGGAGGAATCACTGAGCGTTTGAAGTTGGCTGCCCAAAGGAATTCTTCCCACCAAGTTGTTATAAGACAAATTCAAGTGGGACAAAAATGTTAAGGAAGCAACGCTTTGAGGAATATGTCCTGAAAGATGGTTGTGTGAGAGATCAAGAGTTTCGAGCATATGCATACTTCCAACAATTGAGGGGATGTTACCAGTCAACTGATTCCTTGTACAAGTTCAAGGTACCCAATAAAGTGAGGCTACATATCTCTTGGGGGATTTCACCTTCCAAAAAATTTGATGAAAGATCAATGCTCTTTACCAGCATCAGAGTGGTGTTATACACGAGTTCTTGTCCTTTTAATGTCAGCATGGTTGGCTCCTGATAGTAATCTTGGAATATGTTGGAAACATCACGAACGAGAGAAGTCAAATTATTGAAACAGGTGGGAATAGTACCTGAAAAGTTGTTGTGGCTGAGGTCGAGGATGTGAAGGTTGCCAAGATTGCACAATTGTCTGGGAATTTGTCCAATAAAAAAGTTGGATCGCAATCGTAACATGTACAACATGGATACATTTGATCCTCCTATCCATGGAGGTATGCTCCCAGATAATTTGTTGCCTCCAAGATCGATACTTTTCAAAATAGAGCAATTGTGCAAAGAATCGGGAATCTTACCGCCAAAATTGTTGTTGTTTAGCTTCAATATTTCAAGAGAACTTAATACTCTCATTGAAGTGGGAATATTACCAGAGAGATTGTTGTAGGCAGCATCTACAATTCTTATTTGGCTCCCCAAACTCCATGCGTGAGGGAATTCTCCAAAAAAATTATTGCTCCTCAGGGAAAGGACTGTCAGGTTTTGCATGTTGCAAATAGAAGGTGGAATTGTACCATTCAAATGATTCTGCGAAATGTACAATTCTTCCAAGTTAGGCATCACCTGGTCAATATTCGAGGGAATTGGCCCGGAAAATAAATTGCTTTCGAGATTAAGGATGGTGGCATTAGTGGAACATAGTGGGAGTGGACCCTCAAATTGATTATGATGCAAACTTATTCCAGGTAAATTTAGCAATCTCATCAATATGCTTGATGAAAGCCTACCTCGGAATTGGTTGTAAGATAAATCCAGCATTACGAGTTGGGAAGATACCTTCAACAACCATTCCTCTGGTATAGAATCTGATATTCCAGTCCTACTCAGGGTGACATATACTAGTTCAGTCTGAGATTGAAGCCATACCCCAAAACGAGGACCTACTTTGCAGTTTACAATATTAATTGTGTGGAGTTTGAAAGGAGGAACCCAATCATAAGACATGTTGAAAATGAGGGACACGGGCTTCTCACTTACATCGTAATCATCGTTGTCTATTGAAAGACTTTTTAATTTGGTGAGATTAATCAAATGGGCTTCCGTTATAATGCCATCCCAAGAATTCCTAGACAGATCGATTTCAACTAGCTGGGAGAGTTGTCCCAGACTTTGTGGAATGGACCCATACATGTGATTATCAAGGAGGTACAAATACTGCAAACTCTTTAACATTCCCAAGAAGGCCGGCAATTGGCCTTCCAGCCCGCAACTAGACAAATCTAGTAACTCTAATACTAGTGTATTATTTGGACAATTTGACAAACTCGCCCAAAACTCTTCAATCCCCGAACCACCAAAATCGGTGCTAGAAAGAAGTAATGTCCTTAGCTTGCACAAGTTTCCAATGACTCTGAGAAATCCACTACCTCTAAACGTCGAAAAAGATAAATTTAGGTATTCAAGAGATTTGAGGTTTGCAAGTTCATCTGGAATATGAGAACTGAAAGAATTGTCGATTAGAGCAAGTTCTCTGAGGCCATCTGGGAAATAAAGTATTGAAATCATTATATGATATATCAAGGACCAAAAGTGAGATGAAGTTAATCCTCTCTAGTGATAGTGGAAGGCTTTCAATATGGCACTCAGATAAGTGTAACTCCAGTAAGGAAGGGAGCATGTTAACAACATGCAGCCAATTTGTCACTCTATTAAGATCTACTGCATCGAGATTGATGTATTTTAGGGAAGAGAGATGAGAAAGCCAATTCAAGTTTTTGGAATGTATTTCGAATGAATTTGAACCACCGATGTCAAGATAGTTCAAGTTTGATAAGTTACCAAGAGAAGGGGGAATCTCTCCTGCAAACTCTGCAAAGGAGATATTGAGATATCTCAGAGTTTTAAGTTCCCCAAAGAAGTTAGGAATGTGGATCCCTTCAAAATTATTCCAACTTAAGTCTAGGTAATGCAAGTGTTTCAAGCTAAGCAAAGAAGGATTTATCTTACCCCCCAAGAGAGACTGGTTATAAGCCAATTCGTCCCACTCTGCAAAATCCGTGGAATCTGGATATGGATTGCGGAGATCGATCTTATCAACATGACGGGTCTGGTTGTCGCATGAAATCCCTTCCCAGCGGCAGCAATCATGACCCACCCAAGAAGAAAGCCTGCTAGACGGATCAGTAAGATCTTGTTTGAAGCTCACAAGTGCTTGCCTTTCTTCCTCAATGCATATTGGTTTCACTTTCACAGCAGTGCATGCAATAAGTCCAACATCACCCAATAAGCACAACAAAAGGACCAAATAGTGAAAAATATTGATCAGGTGATATATTTTCATTTTTCGAATCTAGTTTTCTCAATTTGATGCCAAGTGAACTCATACATTTATACAAGGCTGCTATAGCGCTTGTCAAAATCAAACCCAAAATCAACGGTCCAAGTCCAATCAGGTACATGGAATTTTATGTTGACTAAACTGCATGTAGTCTACTTTGGCTGCTCAAATTGTAATTCAATTTCGGAGAAAGTGACTGTTGGTCCAGACAGAGCCACAATGAAACATGAAACATGGCACAATTTCCAGACAGAGCCACAATGAAACATGAAACATGACATGTTACAATGGAAGAATCAGAAATCGCTTTACCACTTTTTAATGGTTGATATCGTATATGATTATAATGGTACAATCCTTGAAAGAGCCACAATGTTCTCGTTAATACATTACTCGTGAATCATGATAGGGATTCTCATGAATCATGCATGGTTGGCTTCTTCATTTCTCCTTGACAGAGCCGCAATGTTCTTATTTCATTTTTTAATGGTAAATGAAACATGTAGTAGAAAAAATAAATCAAATGCCAAATGCAAAATGGTGTTTACCTCAAATGTTGTCCCACCCTAATTTTCAAACAACGTGAGATAGGGGTTCTAGTCTAGTCTCCATATATAACATGAGGAGTTTAAGACGCCCCTAGACCAATTGGCCTATATATCAATCCAGAGTCTCACAATTTTTGGTTTTGTTCCCACATCAATTACTTCCCTGGACAATGACTTACATCGACCGGGCTATGTACTCTTTTAGATGAGAAAATCTTGGATATCCAAATATAAGTCTTTGGTAACCAGTAGGTAGGTTTGAGAATTAATACATATGCAACGGAGACTTTGAGGGTCTCCATAGCATCCATTAGCGAGCGGATAAGTTATTTGTGGTTTCTTTTTTCTTTTTTCTTTTTTTTCTTTTTTTCTTTTTTTCTTTTTTCTTTTTTTCTTTTTTCTTTTTTTCTTTTTTCTTTTTTTCTTTTTTCTTTTTTTCTGAATGGGTTGTTGTTATTCATGGTTTCTAGCTAGTACATATATATCTTTAAGGTCAATAGTCTATATATAAGTCTTGGTATGTGTACATGTGTTTAGTCTTGCACCACTTAATATACTTAACTTCTATACATATGTATCCGATAGAGAGTAACCTTAAGGATCATTAATGTCACACAAAAATACATTAAGGACGAAAGGTGATAATTTCGCGAACTTTAGGGACCACTTGCGATAAAAATAGAAGAACCAAAACTTAATTATTATTGTTTACCTGAGAGATTGTTGTATGCAACATCTACTATCAAGTTTTGCACGTTGTTACTGGACCAAAGTGGGAATGGGCCACGAAATTATTCTGACTTTAATCCAAAATCAGAGTATTTGGAAAATTAAATTGCAATGCAAGTTTTGCAGTGAGCCGGTTGTTAAACAAATTCAAATAATAGACGTTGGAAGATATTTAGAAGAACCAGTAGTCTTCTGTCATGGAATCTGAAATTCCAGTACCGTGAACCAATTAACATTGCTGTGTGCAAATACATCTTCGAAGTAAAAGAAGCCCTCGGCAATGGCCGCTGCTGAAACCATAAGTCTTGCAAACATGAGCACAGTTTTGGTGACGAACGCAAGGGCCCTTGTGATTTGAAGTTTGAACATATCTGATTAGACAAAATGATCATTAATTTTCTTAAGATACGTGTTCAGAGAAAGAATATCAGCAATATGATGTGCTTTCAAACGTTGCCATGAGTTCTTGTTTCGTCTTCTTGTTTGGTCTCGAATTTATGGCAGCCTAGTTTGTGACTTTATTTTTTAAATAGATAGCTAGGGAAAGTGTTCTTAAACAGGAAAGTGGCCCAATGCAATCCTAGTCCCGTAAGGAGTTCAAAACAGGAAATTGAAATAGGATTTGACTCACTCACTCAAATTGAAATAGGAAAGTGGTACGATCATTATGCAGTATATAAAGAGGCATCAAAGCTTGTGCAATAACACAAACTTTTTCACACATTACTCAAATTTCTTCGTAGGTTTCTTGAGAGATTACAACAGATTTCAGTGAGATTCCAAGCCTTCCTGAGGCTATTCAAATTACGAATTACGTACGTTCCTTGAAGATTTCTCTTCCAAACCTTATTTCCGAATCGAGTTTCGATGATTTCCCGAATGTCGATTATGTCATGGTTTTGGACCGAATTTGTCAGCACTTTGTCCGAATTATATCAAATTGCTTCCCTTTTGTTCCGTAGGATTTCTTCACATGTTTTTTAGTTGAGGTCCAGCAGCAGGTTTGCTTTCAATTTTCAATGTATTCATGACTAGGACTAGATCATTATAAACTGTAACTCAGAGCTTTTGTGTTAATATTCCAGTTAATTCAATTATGGTTTACATTTAGTTTAGAAGTTCTTTTTACCAATTTTTTTTTAAAAAAAAAAATACAAGCGACAGTCTAATTATTCTGAACTAATCTAATTTACGAGAGGGTGACTCGAAGGGCTCACTACCCTTGCCAACGGGTCTAAACCATGTATGCATTTTTTATAAAGTTTTCTAGCACATGGAACCCTTGGTTGATTTAATAAAACCCCAAAACTAATATGCTGTAGATTCTTTATTTAACTGGAATAAATAAAACACTAAAATATTTCTTACCAAGTCTTTTAGCTCATGGAAACACTAAAATTATAATCTGCTGCAAAGGAGAGAAATTCATTATCATTCATGTTTGTTCACCACGTCACCAGCATATTTAGGTTTTATTATTTCGAGGGACCAAAATGAAAAAAAAATCCATTCGAAATGACTTTGTTTCCATGCCTCTGTATTGTTATCCTCTGCGAAGTTTCTTTTTTTAATCAAGTTTTCTCTTCCATGATGCAATTGGGTTTCAATTGCAAGATGGGCTTTTTATATATGGTAACTTAAAATTTAAATGTATCGGCACTACTAGAAAATCAGCCACTACCCACTGATTATATTTTTTTGGAAACTAATAATGCCACCATGCCTATTAAAAGTTAATACAAATAAAGTAATTTTCTTTTTTTTTGGCCTTAATATTTAGGTCTCTTTTTTCCCTTAATATAAGTTTTTGGGAAAACTTATAATCACTTATAAGGAAAATAAAAAAAATAAATCAGTTACAAATTGTTACCAAGAGCAATTTATTTCATTTTTAAATGCGCAAGAAAACATAATTACCCTTCTTCCTGTTTAACATTTGTTTCCAATGCCATTCAAGTTAAGGCTTCTTGGGCAGAGCTCAAGGAGAAAGCCCCTTCAACGGAGCTGTATATTATAATGCAGTACAAATGGATGCATTGGCCCAAACAGGCTGAGAGCTCATGCAAATCGAATTTCCATTATTTTCACATAGAATTATGTGACGTCTAAATCTCAACGTTGATAAAAAAGAGATTTGTATAACTACTCTTCAACCAAACTCATAGCAACAGTAAGCGCTAAAAATTGTGGTGACACTCGGTGACCGAGACTTATGATGCTGCCACCAATGCCATGTGCTCTATGAGGTCCAAAACTCGGTTGCTGTATGAAAGATGAAAGCACAATTAGTCATACACAACCATATAGAACCAACAAACTTTGTATTAGTGCATGCCAAGTGCTGAATGTGTGAATATGCAAGTGTAAAAGATGGATTCTTTACCTGTATCCCCACTCATTGTCGTACCACGAAACAAGCTTAACGAAGGAGGAACTAAGTGCTAACCCAGCCTTGGCATCAAATATACTGGACCTGGAAATTGAAGGAATGATTTAAAGATAAGCCCTTCATGCATGAATAAATCAATTCAGAAAAAGATCACACATTTTTAATCATAATTCATAAAATCACTGTTAACTGGTGAAATTGCATGGAAGAAATAATGGTTACTAAGATAACTTTCCCTTCCAGAACAAAGTCAGCCTAATTTGTGTAATGAGTATAAAAGTATCTTAAATCTTTCATATCAGCCAAAAATTACGGCACATATATGCCAGTTGACCAAAAAAATCATATAAGAAAATAACCTCCAAAGATGATAAGATGATTTTTCTTTTAATTACTCAATTTGACCTACAAGATTCATGCTACTATTGGTTTTTATGTTGAAAAAAAGCTTGGAGAAAAAGGAAAAAAACCTACCTTGAGTCACCAACAAATCATTGGAGACTACATCTTCTTCAGTGTAACCAAGGATGCCTCTAAGTGGCCCATCAGCAGCATACCTTCATATAAGATATCAAAGGTGATTGAGCTATCGAAAGGGGGAAACATAAAGGTTTACACTATACACAACACGCAGAATGCATACCTGATGGCTGCCTTGACATCCTCATAAGAAGAAGTCTTCTCAAGTCGACAAGTTAAGTCCACCACAGATACATTAGGAGTTGGGACACGGAAGGCCATACCAGTAAGCTTTCCATTCAGTTCTGGTAGAACTTTTCCAACAGCCTACAATTCCAGGGAACAAATCAAATATGGTACCATTAGACCCATAAAATAAATATGTAAATCAATCATGAGTAAATACCGATTAAAATAATAAATAAAATAACTTAGAAAAATTCCCTAATCTATTTTCAGGGAAGGTACCTTTGCAGCACCAGTTGAACTTGGGATGATATTCTGTCCAGCTCCTCGGCCCCCTCTCCAATCCTTCATCGAAGGGCCATCAACTGTCTTCTGTGTTGCTGATCAAGTAAAACTGTCAATAAGTTTACCCCATAACATGTGATAAACAATGTGCACATGCACGTGTTCTAGAGAGAGAGAGAGAGAGGAAACCTGTAGTTGCATGCACAGTTGTCATCAAACCTTCAAGAATACCAAATTCCTCATGAATCACCTGCACAATAAATTTAATGAGGCAAGATATAACAGGAGGCAGTCGCTTGCTAAAAGTGCTAACGCAGAAAGAAAGCTGAAATAATAGAACTATAAAACAGACTATTTGGTCAGAATGCAATCAAACCTTGGCAAGAGGAGCAAGGCAGTTGGTAGTACAGCTTGCATTAGAAACGATGTCCATATTTGGCTTGTATGTACGCTCATTTACTCCTACCACAAACATGGGTGCGTCTGCTGATGGAGCTGATATTACCACTTTCTTTGCACCACCCTGCAAAGCAAAATCAATCAAAGGTCAACTTGGTGTGACAGTAATGAGCAATGTAATGCAAGAAATTGACTCAAAGCAATTAACCTTTTTATGTAATGAAGCCTTCTCAGCTGTTGTAAAAATCCCAGAAGATTCAACAACATACTCAACGCCATAATCACCCCAAGGGATCTCTGCTGGATCTCTGGATAAGGTTCAGAAGTTAATCCCAAAATACAGATACTGTTTTCAATTAAAAAACCAACGTATGGTGTTCATAACGTTCTCTACAGAACATGCTACAAAACATAAAACAGCTATTTAGATTACTATTGAAAATCACTAGGACAATACCTTTTGCTCACAACTTTAATCGTCTTCCCATTTATTTCCAACGTGGAATCATCAACAACACTAATTGATCCGTCGAATACTCCATGCGTGGAGTCATACTTAAACATGTAAGCCTGCAGATAAAAATACAAGAAAATAAGAATAAAGGAGAACATACAAGCATTCTTGCCTGCATTAATTAACTTCAATACTGATTAGAGGACAGGAGCAGAATGAATATCCAAGAAACTAATCATCAACTTTTTAAGTTTGTTACACACATGAATATAACCAAAGCAAACAAAGATACCCACAATTTTAAATATTCAAGTTCAATCATGTAGATACTAACAGTGAGATAAACAGTGCAATTTAAACCATTCACATATATTCAATGAAGCACTCATTTAATTTATGTGCAACACTTTCTACAATATGGCTCTGATCCATTAAGTACCAAAAAAAATATCAAAAATTGAATCAGAAGCAGAATGCATGCTTCCATATACCCAAACAAGGATGACAATATCTAATCAATACCACTCTAATCTTGAAACGTAAAGAACATGTAGTGCAGGTATGGCTCTGGTGGCTACGTAATTATCCCAGGATATTAGCAAATTGTAAATAAACATCATCCTTATTCCTTACCATGTACTTAGCATCAACTAAAGGATCATTGACCGCAACCACTTCCATATCATCTCTAGAGGTTGCTACTCGGAGAACCAACCTTCCAATCCGACCAAAACCTGCATGAATTCAGTACTTATATGTTGTCATCATATACCAACTATAAATTCATTTTCTAAAGCGAATAAGTCATCAGAAAATCATCCTTTCAAAAAGACAAGCTAAGCATTAGTAAAATATAAAAAGTCAGGTATTGCTATATCGAGCAATATACAAAGAGTAAGAGCTATACAATTTTCGAGCATCCAAAAACAATGAAAGGGGCTAATGGGAAGAACAGCAGTAATATTGAAATCATAGACAAATAAACTTAAGATTCAAAATAGAGAGTTGGGCATTGATATATTAAGCAGTACTAAGAGTATCAGTAATACAGTTAACAAGCATCCAAAAACAATGAAAGGGGGTCATGGGAAGAATAGCAGTAATACTGACATAATAGACAAACAACTTAACATTTAAGAAAATAAGCTTAAACTAAACAAAGAAAAACATCATCCATGACCACTGACAAGCAAGAGAAAGCACAACTTAAATCAACTTACCATTGATCCCAACCTTTGTCTTCCCACCACTCCCTGATCCTAAACAAAACAAAACAAAACAATCAAGAGTAAGCTTCAGAGCCATACAAATCAATGTGATGTTGAAAATTTGTTTGGTTCTTACTCTGGATTGTGGGTGGTAGCTCAGTGGCTGTGGCTTTGATAGGTTGGGCACTCCTCGCGCTACATATCCTGAAAAATGGACCATATATCACAGTCAATTACAATAACAAAGCTTGAAATAGCAAACCCAAAAAATTAACTAAAAACTGAGACTAGGTTGCTCAACTGTAAAGAAGACGAGCGGCTTGGGATGGAAGTGCCAAATATGCTTGATTGCACCTTTGGACAGTTCAGATTGCGACCAAATCCGACGCTTGACACCTAAATAACAGATAAAAGATAATTAACAAAAACAGCGAAACAAAAGTGTATTTGTTATTCATTGTTTAGTGAGTAGTGGTATTTTCCACTCATAAAAAAACTGAAAAAGAAAAAAAACCAAACCTTTTTAAAGCTGAGAAAACTCAACTAAATCACTAAATAAAAGATCAAAAACTGTTCTTAACATAAAAGAAACAATTCTAGCATACAGAAAATGAACTAGAAGCCGAAATTTAAAGCCTTAAAATTTGCAAAAGAAACTGGTACAAATCAACAGTAATCATAAACAAAAAGCCAAAGAAATGTCAGCTTAAAAAACCAAAACATAATTTATTCCAGACCTCATTTTTCATTCCTCTGTTTTCAAAACACAACCAAATTCCCAAATGTTTGGAAGACTACGACATCGTTTCGAAAAAGTTGGGTGATCAGCCATGGGAGCAGAGGCAAGTAAAAAACAGACCTTGAAAGAAGCGGAGGACGAGGCCGCGAGCTCAGCACGCGAGGCTTCGATCAACGGAGCTGAGGCTGTAGATCTGAGCAGAGAAGAAGCCGCCATTTTTTAGTGATTCAACGGACTCAGAGCTCTCTTTCTCTCTCTTCGTCTGAAGCAGATGGAATAGAAAACCCTAAAAACGAAAAGCTTTTATGCAGCTTTTGGAGACTACGAACAGCCCACCAGAACCAAATGTGTCTTTTGCTTTCTTTTTTTAATATTAAACTTTTTTAGAAAAAAATCACGAAAATAAATAAAGTAAAAGCCCTGCGGAGGTTCTTATGGAGCTTCCCCTGAAAACTCCCTCTCTCTCTCTCTCTCTCTTCATGTTCTTTATGGGGGTGCACTCGTCTGCGACCCGCCAGAAATCTTGGCCATTTTCAACCGTTGATTTTTAAAGGGTCCGAAAATGAAACGGTTGAGATGTGAATGGAGTAAGGGTTGTGATGAGAGTGGAAGGAGAGGATTATGAGCTGTGTAAATCACGTAGGTGAGTTTGTCGTGACGTGGAGAGCGGAGAAAAGGTATCGTAGATCCTCGAAAGCCACGTCGGACCCGTGTGGGCTTTTTTGGGATTTTCCTTTTTTGAGATTTTCTAGCCGGTCCTACAGACGGCCGGTCCACGTTCCCGGTCCATTCTTCCTTTGTCTCCTATGCCCAGGCCCCAGCGGTTGCTTGCATTTCTCTACAATTGCAGAAAGTTAGCTGTTGGTTTTCTACTATTGGAGAAAGTTACATGAATTTTTCTTATCTAATATTTTGTTTTAAAGAGGTCTTAATTTTATATTTACATTCTCAAGATATAAATAAATAAATAAATTGTTGATCCTTTAGATAAGTGTGTGCTTAATGCAACAATAGTTGGAAGCGTGGCTTATGCCGGCGGGACAATAAGTCCGTCTCTTGCAACTAAAAACAAAAAGAAAATAAAAGGTCACCAAAAATAAATAAATACTAAAAAAAACTATTATTTTTTCTTGGAGTCATTCACTCAACGCAAAAGGCAGAAAAAATTTAAACTTGAACTTGAAATTTAAACTTGTACAAGCACGTTGGAGAGAATAGCACGAATAGAACTAGAACTCAAAATGGTTTTAAACCTATCAAGTTCTTTTGTTTAATTAATGATTTGGATGAAGCTTTAAGCCTCCCTCATGTTTAATTTGTAATTTGATATATTATGGGGTTTTGATTTTATATTTTCTGTTGAATTCTTTATTTTATTATAATATTTATATATAAAAGGGTGCTGATTTTTCAACTCATCTTTTCTCCACTTACACTCCTTTTGCTTTTTAATATTTTTTAATCAATTTTATTATTTTTTGTTATTTCTCTTTCCTATTCTACCATTACCCTACATTAATTCCTTCTTTTTTTTTTTACATCCATAGTTTCGTTTTCTTTTTTTTTTCTTTTTTTTTTTTAAGGAAACAAATTTTAATGCAAAAGACAATAAAATATAGAGAAGGCCAAGATGGCCCTAAACAAACAAAAAACAAAGAAAGAGTAAGCTAATGATAGAATAGGAAACTTTAATATATGGTAAGGGTAGAATAAAAAAGAACAATATTAATTAAAAAATATTAAAAAACAAAAAGGAGTATAAGTTAAGAAAAACGGAACAGAAAAATCAACTCCCTTTAAAAAAAGTATCGATCAGTAGTTTTAAATTTGATATCAATACACACGGTTCAATTCGTTTTATAGTAACTTTGTTTTAGGAGTTCACTACTCATTTGGTACCGAGTCCCTAAAATCTTAACCAACCGTTCAAGTCCGAACCGCACTCATTCGGCATCGGTGAGATTTGAACTCATTTAACTCAATTAGGTTTTAGGACTTCCTAAGTTCACCAACCGTTCAAGTCCGAACGTTTTTTTTGTTTTGTTTTTGTTTTTTTATGTTGGTCGGGGGGTTCAAAGTAAGGACCGTCCATTACAGAAGTAGGGTAGGGGAAGCATATATTATATATATAATTACAAATTACTGACATTGATTATTGAATGTGATATCTGAGTGTCGTGTTAGGCATAGTGCTCTTTTGGCATTTGCCTTTGGGGTATATGTGTTGCGGTAGGTAGGCTTGAAAACAACCCAATACAGCCCAATACAGCTATGCACGTGGTCTTCCCTAGAAGTAGGAAGACAACTTCTCCAAGCTAACTTTTTCCGTCGCGAAAGAGTATGACCGGTTAGTCGGCTTGCAGAATCACTCATATTAATTAGTTGTTCATGCACTCGGTTACATTAGCGGTTGAGAACTGCCTTGTGAGTTAGTCAACATATATACGGATGCATTAATAGTTGAACGTCACCTGTGCGCGTGGGCGACAATATTCCTGTCATCTTTATTTTTGGTATAAAGATGAAAGGTGGTAGCCGGAAGGCACATGTGCCAACTAATGCTTATTTGTTTTGTGAAATGACATGATCTGTCTGATGTCTCAACATAGGTATCACATGTAACATTTTCTTTGGCACTACCGCACAAGTTTGGACTATTACACAAAACACCTGGGTGATGCTAATGGGTTTGTTATCACATGATGACAGTCTCCAACATCATAGAAATTTGTTGATGGCACCTATCAACAACTCTATAAGAAGAAACATGAGAAGAGAGAGAGAGAGAGAGAGAGAGAGAGAGAGAGAGACGAGCTATTAGTTTAAATCAATTCGTTTAAGCAAAGACAGACATTTTTGTCTATAACTTTTCTTTTGGTTGTTGTCAAATCTGTCCAGGAATTTTGATATGAGGATTTAGGTATAGCATACTTCCATTTTGGGATTAGTTATAGCTGCCTCAACAGCTTTAAAGAATATGGATCCCAAAAAGCTTAGCAAAGTTGTTCGAAGATGTAACTGTGAGAATGTGAAAGTAAAGAGTCCATATTGGAAAGTTGAGAAACCTAGTAAGGGATTATAAGGAGTTGAGTTATTCTCCCCTCATTGCCAATTGGTTTTGAGGTGGAATCTCAACTTCCTTCATGGTATTAGAGCTGGTTAGCCCACATGTGAAAGCCCAACGGCTACACGTGCTCCACGTCACCTAATATATGTTGTTCACGTGCTAGGCTTGAAAATTCGTCACACGTGCGAGAGCGTGTGAGCATGTGAAGGTAAAGAGTCTCACATTAGAAAGTTGAGAAACCTAGTAAGGGCTTATAAGGAATTGAGTTACTCCCCTCATTGCCAATTGATTTTTGGGTGGAATCTCAACTTCCTTCAGTAACATCGAGGGCAGATTTTTGGTGTCACCATTATATCTTCACGTAGTGCTATTAATTCTCTCATGTTATAACACATATATTTATTAATTAATTAATGTTAACTTAAAGTTTTTAAAATATCAACTTTGCTGATACCCATGAATTAGTAACACCATATGACAATGTGACAATCACACCTTGGAGTAGTTGATTATATTTCGACTATAATTATATTAGATGCCTGTATATATATAAGAAGAAATCAACATTTGGGTTATCCATTAATCAAGAGATTAAAGTTGTTTTTAGAACTAATGATGGTTGGCACTCAACAGACCAAAACAAATGTGGTGGTCACCTTGAGCTTAAAGAAAGGAAAGGTTAAGTCGATAATCATTATAAACCAACTGATTGAGGGGTGCCCAGAATCATGACACGAAAACTATGAGAGTGGGAAGTGAGATGAAGATTTTGATAAAGAGGTAGGCAAGAATGGAGATAAAAATAAATCGTAGCACCAAAGGTCATTTGATACTTTTTATCATTTTGTGTTTTCTATACCTCTTGTCAACTTTTCTCATCTCTCTTCATTCCCTCTCTCTCTGTAAGTATTTAAAAGCCATGGACAGATCCATTCATTCTTCTTAAAAGTTTGGGCCTGAGTAATTGGATCCACCAGCTCTTCTTTCATATTTTTTTTATAGGGAACTTCTTCTCCTATTTTATATTCATTTTCACTAATCGTTCTCTCAATATTTCATTCAATTTCACATATTTGGGTTAGGCCACGGGGTAAGTCAGTGTATCGGTTCCCTTACACCTGAGTTCCATTGACTTTTCCGTAAATTAGAGTAATTTAAAGTATTTCTACCTCAATGTTTTTAGTATATATCTCATTTTGGACCAATATGAATAATGAACTATTGTAAAATTGTCCCTCATAGAAAAGATTTCTTACTAAACTTTTTCCTTTCCATATTTGTAATTTTGTTGGCATGCACTAAATATTTATAATTATATAATTTTAAAAAAGAAAAGAAAAGAAAAGGGGGAAAATTTCAGCATTGGTTATGCTTGGAACGCCAAGTGTCATTCTCTAACAAGCTCTGCCCAACCAAGAGTGGCATTGCCACAGAACTTCCCGGCAACAATGGTCAATTGTCCATCTTCTTCTGTTTTCTTCCTTCATTTCATATAATACACACAAACATTCCTTCTCTCCTCTCTCTCTCTCTCTCTCTAGCATCAGCCCCTGGGGGAGGTGAAGGAAACTATTTCTTCCTTCATTTCGCCTCTGCTGCTGGTAATGCAATCCACACTTTTTTCTTTGCCTCCTAGCAAATTCTCTCCAGACCGTGAACCAAAATTTTTGATTACACGAAATCATGTATAAAATCATATACAAATATTTAATTCACAGTCGAACAACATAACATATCACGTATATGATACGAGATCATTGCTTTACATATGCATACGTAATATGTTTGCATGTGCACATTGTATTTCTATGTATTTGTATGTCATGGGGGCTTTGGTTTCTTGATTTGATTATGTTAAACTATATCTTGCTGATTGGGTGGTAAATTTTATATTTTTTTACATTATGTGGATTGTTTGTTACATGCAATGGCGAAAATTGGCTGCTTTTTTTATGAGGTGGGTTTATTTGGTTTGAGCATGGGAGGTCATCAGGCCGGAATTGTGTTTGATTTGTGTTCCCAATTCTAGTGTTATGGATGAAATAGATTGAATAATTGTTTAAGGCTGCAATGAACTGCACAGAATTGGATTTAATTTTCATGCTTACAGGCATGGAATCTGATGTAATATGTTCTCTTGATTATAGGACTTTCTGTATGGAGTGGATGTTAAATAAATTACAGTGCACATATTTTTCTTTTGCTTCCATTGTCTTTCAAAAAATTTACGTAATGGCACTTGATATGATATTGAAACCTGTTTTTTTTAATCAGATGCTAGGATAGAGATCCAGAAATATTGCTGGGATGGCTGTCAGCTTTAGATATTGGGAAGACTGTGTTGATTCCCATGACTTGGAAGAAATGTGGAGCAGTCCTTGTGTAACTGCTGAATGGTTAGATGCTGGAGAGAGCAGAGGACAGAAAGTTCATCTCTCGCGCGATCCCGATGGACAGCCTTTTTTGACACAGACTGAGATGAAGGTGAATTGCAGATGTAATTAATTACATTGAAGGAAATCCTAGTTACTAGCTTAGTATAAGTTGCACTTCATAAATCAACATATTTCTCTCACTGGAGATTTTTCAACTGAATTTCTGATAGCTAAGAAGTTTTTACATTCCTTTTTACTACTGTAAGTATCATTCTGGTAACCATTTTGATAGTCCAAAGAAAAAAACTACTGAGGACAAAAAGTTTTTGGAATATTTTGATTTGACTTAGAGATTCTAAAACGCAGGTCATTTGCTTCTGAATCTGTTGTCTAATTTACCTTGCATCATATGGCTCTTTTTCAGATTGTGGCTGAGATCACCATCCGCAGGCACTTTGCTAACCAAATAGATCCCGTATGTTTTCTATGATGAGAACAGATTCGTCTGCTCCCCTTTTTATTATCCTTTCAGTCTCTGATTTCTCTGATATGTTTTCTGTGGAGTGGGAGGAGCTAGTTTAGAGATTTACATGTTACTATATATGTAGCACTAAATTCGATACCGAGATGTCTGGGTTGGTCTATGATGATAGCATGGCCACCCAAAGCCCTGAGTAGAAACAATGTTCATGTTACTTGATTTATTGTCACTTTCCTCTTTCTTGAGAATGCAACTGTCGCATTTTGTTAGTAAACACCAACCCCACCAACCTACATTGCACACGCAAGGTTTTTTCAATTCGGAGACATTGCAGGCAGATTGTTCTTGTGTTAACAGCACGGTGAAGTCAATGCAATCAATGGCATTGAGGGGCAATCCACATTGTTGTCATCTTTAATTTCTGTAACAAAATGATTGTGATCTTACTTTGAATGATATACCTGTTTTCTATCTTCTACTCATGATTGATAGTGCAAAACTTGTTAAGATTTCAGAGGAACGGACCCTTAGCCTACCACTAGAAACATCGATATTGTCCCCAACTTAACCACCTGTTTAGCAGGTGTGGGGTTTTTTACAAAATGCCTTGATGTTATTAGGAGTGAAACCATTTAATATATGGGACTTTCTATTTCGTTAAGTTTCCGATGTGGGACTTGTGTATTCTTCAACAAAACTAACCTTGAACATGTTTGGCAACATAGAAGTTTATGTTCTGTTCTGGATTGAAAACTTGTTGTTTGCTATGACCATCTATATTCGGGGTTTCTGGTACCTCTCCACTCTAATGTTTATAAAGGGATAACTCTGTTCTGTATGAAAATAATACTTAAAGAGAGTGAAATTTTAAGCTTTGGATTTTCTTCTGGAGATCCTTTTTCCTCCTTAACTTTTGCATTCTACTTCTGCTGCAGGATATGATTCGTGCTATTGCTGACCTTGAAAGTGATAGACAGCCCCTTGCTACCCGGTATGATAAAAAAACCAAGTCCACCACTGCAGGGATCATGCAACTTTTACCAAAAACTGCTGACTGGCTGGCTAGGTACCAAAAATATGCACTGATTTCATTTTAAGCACATAAATCTTATACAGAGCAACAATGTTGTTTATCTACTTTTTATGTTATATTGCTGCAATGAAGTTGAAACTGCAACTTGCTTGCAGTGATATGGGCTACCAGGCATATGCAGTGCAAGGGAATCCAGATCTTCTGTTCAAGCCTTTTGTAAATGTATATTTTGGTGCTGCTTATCTTAAATGGTTATCAAGCTATGATCAAAAGTAAGTTGCAAAATATATAATTTTTTCGTGTCAGGTTGTATGCAGCTAGTACGAATGTGGACTTGGTTGGGTCCATCTTCCAATGGTTTTTGTGATCCTCTACATGTGTCTTATGTGTAGATGTTAAGTAATTAAGATAATTACCATTGTTAGTTCCATGATGAGATATTGATGCTTCAGTCTTTGTTTGCAGAGAAAGAAGTGAAGAATTTGTAGTTAGGGCATATAAAGGTGGTACCAAAAAGGCAACTCACAAATCAACTTTGAAATATTGGCAACGGTATCTTTCAGTCAAGGAAAGTCTTCCATCCAGGTTGTTGTCTTCTCTGTATCACTATGATCTGGAACTTTGCTTTAAGCATTTTACAACAGTATTTTTAAGAACAGTATATGAAATATTTTCCACTGAATTGTATAAATATTTGAAATTTGGTGAAGAAGTATTGAAGCCAATTTAGAAATCGTTGTGCAGTGAAGGATGTTATGTTTTGGTGAACATGTTATGAAGTCTCATTGAAAAGTCGAAACAGGCATTAAATCCTTGTCAGATATATATTCCAGAGCTGATTATGGTGTAATTCTTTTGTGCAGAAAAAGTTTTGAAGGCTGTCCATCTCCAAATGAGGTTTCTACTTCAGCAGCCCCTCATGCTCATGCTCCTCCTCCTCATGCTCATGCTGCACCACCTGCACCACACAACGCAGGTTTCTCCTTTTCTAGTTACAGGGGGAGCTACTGTTACAAATGATTTTGAGTACTTATTTTTTAATACCTGATGTTTGGTGAAACTTTGCTTCTCCTTTAATCTATTGCAGTTCCAAGCATGTAGAATTCCTCAAGAATTCTGAGATATATATCATACGTTGAGAAATTTCTTTACTTTATTTCTATTATATTACTAAGCCAAGAAGCTTTTCATCAGGTCATCATATTTACTGGGACTCCAGAGCTTCTCCAGAAGACATGGCAGAAATGTGGAATCATCAAGAGGTCGCTAGAGAGTGGACCACAACTGGAGAGAAAAGGGGAAAAGTACGATTCTCCCTTGATGACAACAAAAGACCATACCTTTCTCGTGTAGAACTGAAGGTACGAATTTTTAGAATGAAGACCATGGTTTGAAGTTCAGGAATTCTTTTTTGTTAGTGCTGTCAATGAAATCAAGATTATATTAAATGCGAAACATGTCACCACAAAACATGTTATTGACTTCTTGCAGGCAGTTGCAGATATCGTACTCACAAAACACTTTAATACAAAGCCAATCAAAGCTGTAAGTGTAACTTCTAACTTGTGAAGTCCGGTTTCTGTAAATGAGATACTTTTGTGTGCCTAAAATTTTTGTTTAGGCTCATTTGTCTAAAAGAATGCTCTTGAGGAAAATCCCGGAAGATCATGAAACCATTTGTCATTTCAGTCTTCTCCCTTTTCAGTTTCCTAAGCATTGTTACCTTTGCCCTCACCTCAGTCATCACTTCTTTGTCTTTCTCCGCAGTGTATTTTACTTTGTTTTTCTTGTTTTCGTGGGATTTATTTTTTGCAGTCAGTTCTTGGTGCTCTTGCAGAGGTTATTAGTTTGCGTTTCTTGAATGGCGTTGGACCACGTACTGGAATAATGGGAATCGACTATTCTACAGCTTTATGGCTTTACAAGTATGTCAATCTCATAATCATAACTAAATTTCTTAATTGGAGAAGAGTTTAAAATCCGTCTGTATAGAGAGCCTAGCTTGAAAGATAACTATCTTGACTCATCATGATTGTTTCTGGTGGTAAATCCACCTATTTACAAATGGTCTGTCTTGAGTTGAGCTTGGACAGCGCCTTAAATTGCCTAGAAAATGAATGAGAAAGAACTTCCATGCAAAATGGGGTCAATTCAATTCATATCAGATCAAATAACTCCCTTAAGAACTATCATTTGCTTGACACTAGAAACAAAAGACTTCTGTTATGAATGAATAAATATAATTTGGTGTTCTCTTCCCCTTTAGTATAATTGTATTTGCTTTGAACTTTCTCTTTGTGTGCAGGGAGATGGGCTTTAAGGCATACACAATTCATTCTGCTGATGATCTTTCCATGCCATTTGTGTCAATGTACTTTGGTGCAGCCTATTTAGTATGGTTAGTGGAGTATGAAGGAAGGTGAGTCTGTTTAATATCACTGAAATTAATGTCTTTCCTAAGGTTGATAATATCACTGACCAATGTATGCCATAAGCAGGTCAAGAACTCCAGAGTTTGTTGTTCAGGCTTATATCTTGGGACCAAAGAATGTGAATCTTCAAGATTCAGGTCCACAGTGGCTCAAGTTTGAGGAAGCCTTGGGCAAGTACGAAGACACGAAGAAGCTTAAGTATGTCCGTTCCACTTGTAAGTTAAAAATTCAGAATCTTCTGTTTGTATACTGATGAATTAGCCTTATATTTGTAGGGATCAAGGGAGCTGCACTATCATGTAAGCTGACAAAAACCACCTTGCCACCTTTGATGACAAGGGATTGCATCCTCTGCATCAAGTGAGAGCATTCTTGAAAAACTCAAATGAATTGAGTGAATGCTGTTACTTGGTTCTCATGTAGAATTGCTTTTGTAATATTTTTGAAGAGTTTTACTCTTTTTTCTGTATTTTTTTGCGAAAACTGTGTGAGCTGAAGTACAAAAGATAGCACTTTTAAGCGTCTGCTTTCTCAAAAGGCAGATAGTCCTGCTTCATTTGCCATAGGTTCAGTCACATTTGAGTCCAATGAAAAATGATGCATCCAATTGAAAAGTAACCCTAATTTGATGATAGGGGTAGTCTTACAATTTAGTCACGAACTTCAAAAATCTTGAATGCATCTACAGGCCGGGCTATAATCTGGGAAGTTGAACAAAAAATATCTGGTTATGAAAAATCAATCATAAGTTTGCATCTTATGAACAAAAGTTACCTCATAAATTTCCAAATGCAATAGCATTTTTTCTTTATAACTAATGACCAGCAACGACCATCAGCCAACAGAAAGTAGTGGCTTCCAGTAATATCTAAAAATGAAAAGAAAAAAAAAATCTATAAAATCTTAAATCAGTACATGTAGAAGCTCTGCTGAGGACTTCAACAACCAATGTGTAATTGAATATGATTGACATATGGGGCAATGACTTGCTCTTTTCTTTAGGAAATAATAACTTATAGGAACTATGGCCTATGGAAACCTTTTGTTTCTCCACAACCCATAACAGAAGAAGGCAGCTTTCCCACTTTCTCCACCCCTGCTTCAAAAACCACTCCCATTCCCATATAGAAATGGGATTCTAAATGGCAATGAAAAGCCCAAACACCTGGATTATCAGCTCTAAATCTCAAAGCAGTCCAGCCATAAGGATGTACTGGCACAGTGTTCTTCATGATTGGATTTACAAGATTGTATTTTCCCACATCCTTCATCATGTCAAACTTGCCTGTTCCATAGCCCAGCACCCAAAAATCATGTCCATGGAGATGCCATGGATGTGTCTCACTGTTGTTCACAGTCATGGTGTTTGCATTCTGCAGTATAATATCCACTGTGGTATTGAACTTCAACCTGTATATGCCATTGCTGGAAGTGGCATTTACATTCTCAGCAACGGCATATATATCATAATTCTTGAAGTCATAGTTTTCTGGAGGTGGGGTTTGATCAAACACATGGTTTAAGTTTAAGTTTTCCTTTAGAGCTATCAAGTAAGGTGTGTGGGGGAGAGAGAAAGATACATTGTTTAAGGACCATCTATAGTACCCATCTATCTTATTTTGTGTGTTGAGAAGCACAATGACTTTGTCTGAAGTGAGAGGGGGGGAGTGAATGAAACTTTTGTGGGCTTTGACAGCAAGGCTCTGTGCCAATCTTGGTGCAGTGTCATTCCATAGAGGGTCTGTGGTTGGCAGAGTTGGAGGGGATTTCTTGAAGTATTTTGGATAATAATTGAGGATTGCTAAGCCAGTTGGGGTTGCAGGTTTTCTGCTAACTACATTTGTAGTCACCCAGTAGTTTCTTGATGGGTCTTGGTTTGCTGCTATTAGGACAGAATATGTCTCACCAGAGTAAATATATAGGTTTTTAGTCTGAAATGGCTCCACATAATGCCCATCAGCTTCAACAACAGTCATATTGTGACCCTGCATTAAAAAAAAAGTTTGTTACTAACAAGGACAAGCTTTATAATATCTACACATTTGAAACTTTCAAAGACTTGGTGAGGTTTAAGTTACCTCAATTTGGAAGCTGAGAGCTGATAGAGAGGTCAAGCTACCAATCCTTAATCGATACGTTTTGCCAGGGATGACTGTCAAAACATAGGGAGAACATTCTGGGTTTGTCGCGTTACAGACTCCGGCTTCTAGGCTAGGAGTTGCTAGTAGAGAGCAGTTGAACCTCCCTCTTCCATTAATCAGAAGTGACTGAAAATTTAATGGAATATGAATTATCAACAATGCAAAATAGTCCATATGTAATTTCAATCAATGGATAAAGTCATTTACCTGAGGCTCCCCAACCCAAACAAAAGGTATGGAAGACAAGCCAGCAGCTTGCTCATAAGTGCTTTTGTGGAACCAGTCATTAAGGATAATGCTTCTGTCATAATCATAGGCAAAGGGCTCAGATTCTCCATTAGGAACAGAGACAGTAATGGATCCATATAACCCAGCTTCTCTTTGAATTCCATAATGTGCATGGTATAGATATGACCCTGCCTACAATTTTTGTACGATGAATTAAAACATTGTTTATAATCAGAAACATATTCACAGAGCTGGTGCAGATATGTAAACAATGGGCAATGTTTTCTTCTCACATTTGTAGCATGCGATGTTGTCAAACTGTCAATCTAGTGCCATAAATTGAAACATGATTTCACACGATCAACGGTCCAGATTAGCAGTTTAGCAACATAACATACCTGACTGTTTGACCAGAAAAATCCCCTGCAAACAATATAAAAGTATTGCTCATTGGCTCATTGCATTAATTGGTTCAAGTTCCCAAAACTCACCCTATCCACAACAAACTTGTATATGAAGGTGTCTCCTGGAAAAATTGGACATTGAGTCACACCTTCTGTTCCATCACTCCAAGGTGTTCCAATCTGCAATTTATATACAGAAAACAAAAACAAACAAAAAGGTTCACATCTAAATTTTTTTATATCCAAATGCTGACTTGAAAATGAACAACAGAGTACGAAACTACCTGTCGAATTCCATGCCAGTGGATTGCTACATTCTCAGTTAACAAGCTATTCTTAAGCTCAACTACAATTGTGTCACCCTGCTGTGCCAATATTTTTGGTCCTGGGGTTTCTCCATTAATGGTTATGGCCAGCTTCTTAAAGCAATCTGGAGATTTGTACTCATACTTCACCTCCCATCTGTAATGCCGAATTCTAGCTTCAACCGTCGAGATAGCAACCAAAGAAATAAAATGGCATAAAACCAACAGCTTCACCAAACTTCTGTATGCTAAAATCTCAACCATGTCTGAGGCTTTCAAACCTCAGAAAGCTTGAAGAAGCTTGTACAAACAACATAGCTCTGGCAGTATATAAATAGAAATATACATCTTACTGAAAAATTATTGGTTTTGCATGAAACTATGTATCCAATTCTCAGTCAATCTGAACGGCTAATAGAATATTCGAAATCTTTTTGAACTTTCCAGCTTACATTTTCCAAAAGGATGTGGAGCACATGCTCTGTAGATGTGACTGAAAGCAATGCAACTAAGCCCTCTAAAAGCACTTTACACAGCAGAATATATAGATGTCTCTGGCATAATGCATAAAAGTATTGATCTCTTGGAGACTGAGGACAAATCTGTTGAAGAATACACGAGTCCCACATCGGAAACTTAACAAAATAGAAAGTCTCATATAATAAATAGTTCCACTCCTAATAACATCGAGACCTTTTGTATAAAACCTCACACCTACTAAACAAGTGGTTAAGTTGGGGACAATATCGATGTTGCTAGTAATGGGCCAAGGGTCCGTCCCTCTGAAATCTTAACATAGTATCAGAGCCTGGTTCCAATTCTTAACAAGATCAAAACCACATAGTTAACATAGATTTCTTTTCTTTTTGGGGGAAATTAAACCAAAGACTTTCTGTTCCTCATTCCATTATCATAAACTTCGCTTTGTGAACTGTCAAATTTTTTGGTCAATGGCAATGTAGGAAATAGAATATCCGGAGAAGAAAAAAAATCTGTAAAAGATGCACAGTGCAGGAGACACAAAAACGCGTTACAAGCTAAGTTAAGATAATAAAAGTTGTGAAAAGGCTAAATTTCTGTCTAATTATGCACAGATCTTGCTTGTCCATAGTTTGTAAAATATGACTAAAATGATGAGACAGAAGAAAAGGACAAGTTAAGAGAGGTTCTTCAATCAATGCTTAGTCTCTGGCCTTGGACTTAGCGAACTGTTGACATTGGATATGATTGAGTTCATCATTGATTCAGGGTACTCATGTGGGTTGGTTTAATGATCCCATGCCACCATGCACACTCTGCTCACATATTTGAAGTACTTGAAAGAAAGTACTGAAATTGTTTAAGCAAATATTAAGGGGCTTGTAGTTCAAGTGGATTTATCTCTGTATTCGAGGTTCTATTCCCTCCCTCTCTGTTTTCGCAACGAGCTTGTAATTTAAGTGGATTTATCCGTGTATTTGAAGTTCTATTTGCTAGAGGTCTAGCTAAGCCTACTAGATTCTCGTACAAAGAAGGCCCAACAGCCAGAGGAGGACAATCAATGGGCCTCAAAAGCAAATAAAATGTCAAATTTGACAATGGCGGTGGAAGCAAATATTCTACCAATTGTTTCTTGTGAGATAAGCCTTGACCGCAGAAAAGGTTTTATTGACTATCCACCACTCCAACTTTTTTTTTTTGGTCGGTTTGTTTCTTTTTGCAAGCCAAGATTGAGAATCAAATATATTCTTTAATATATGCTAAATACAAGAAAAAGGATGAATTATTTAATTAATTTGAATGGTCAATAAATGATTGGCAAGCCGTCTGTTTTTTTTTTCTTCTAATATTTTTTATGGGATTTTAAAAAAATTCTTATTGGGGTTTGAATACTTCGACATTGTTTTAGCTCCAAGAAAAAAAATGACAAATTGGACCGACCAGATTCTTCAAATATAATTGCTGAGGAGGACATCTTGACCGTCCATGGCCAATTCCAAGCTTCTTTAGTCGTATAAAATCATTGTAAAAAAAATATTATAAAAACGTGCGGAACTCAAAAAAGTTAAAAAAGTATGTAATTATCTGACTATAATGTTATTTTCAATGGACCGCTGATAGAATCCCTATGTATTCATTAATATCTTGACTATTTGAAGGCAAAACAAGGAGGTGAATATTAAATTGGCGGAGAGCGTGCGATGTGATCTAAGAGATTGGAAATTTTAATGTCACGTGCGGCGTCACGTGATTTGTTAATCAAGTGAAGGAGTGAATTAGGATGGGATGTGCCCAAGCCTATATTGAGCTTGCCGCTTTGAGCCTGTGATCGTTGTCAATTAATAATTGTTCATAAATTGTTTTATATGTATTTTTTTAAATCAAGATTTATGGTTTACATTATAAATTTAAGTTCTTTTTTTAGTACAAGCCACTAAAGGAGGGGAGTTTACACAAATATATTCATTAGGTGTCCAGGGTTTCGAACCTCTGTCCACATAAATAAATGTGAAAGAGCTCAACTAACTAACTTATGCCCCACTAGCTCCAAAATATTAGAACTTTAAGTTTGAAGGGAGTAATTTTGGACATAAATAGGAGATAAACTCTCATGCAACGGGAATATCACTTTTTGTTATTCTTGACTAATAACACAATGACACGTTGGATAACTTTTCACTATATCATTGTCTTATCGACTGAAAATAGCAAAACAGTATTATTCTAATTACAAGTAAGTTTTTTTTTCTTCACAAGTAGACTATCAACACAATATGCAAGAGCTCCTAAAAGAATCATGCATTAAGTTTGGACACAAGTAGAATGTATTTCATGAATAAACTGGAAATAAAGAAAACATTCCCAAAAATATGAGCAAAGATCCAACAGTTTTTATTTTTATGAGATAGGTTAGAGCCTAAAATGTCTGGGAGTTAATAACACATTACATAAAGATTTTGCAATATAATTACATCTATTTTCAGAAACTTGCTAACGAAGTCTCGTTACTTGAATGGGCCATGGTCACCTCAAGTGTATATATGGATATGAATTGTAATATTATATTATAAATTTTGTCTCACCTAAAAAAGTTTGAAAAGAAGGGTTGATTTTGTAGAGTATGTTTTCTTCCACCATGTCACCCCAAAATGTTTTCTTGGAAAGTAGGCACGCAATTTCATTTGAGCCAAATCATTTTCAAATGGAAAGTGAAATGCGAGCTCACTGCAAGATCCATGGGGACTCTCTTTAGGCTAGTCCTCCTCCCTCTTAACCAACTTCGCCTACTACCTAGTCAACTTGTACATATCTACATGGCAATTTACGTAAAAACGCAACCCAAGAGGGGTAATCCGGGAAAACCAACTCTCTGTCTTCGCTCACTTGACTTAGTATCAAAGCGAATAAATAAATGAGTTAAACATGATTTCGCAGGAATTAAAAGACAAGAAAGCAAAAGCCTTATGAGTTATGAGCAGTTGTTTCATTTCTAGGTAGCCGAAAAATCCAAAATTTTCAATAGAAAGAGCGAGAAAGTGAGGGAAAGTGAGGGAAAATCTTTTTCTTTTCTTTCGAAGTTGTGTTCTTTGAGCTGCAGTCGCAAAGACTCCTCCTTTTCCGCTGATACAGTAATGGTGGCTGGTTCACTCAAGCCCTCCCGAACCAAAGATATACTGTGAGAGCTTTTCAGCTACAAAAGCATTGTTCTTTCAGGTACTCGAGGCTAAATTTATTTTTATTGTTTTTGATCTAGTTGCAGTATTGGTTTTTGGGTTTCTTTGATTTTGATCTGTGAGTGATTCAAGTTGTTTTTTTGGTATTGGTGTATGCGTATATTCATGCATTTCTGTGTGTTTTTGTGCATTGTATTTCATGGCACTGAATACAGGTTGAAGGTAGTTTAATTTGTTTATGATTATTGACTGGTTAAGAAATTTTTTATTAATCCAATAAAATAGAGAGAATAATTAATAAAGTTGTTTTATTGGTAAAATTTTAATTGGTTCCTTCAATGAGTTAATAGTCCTCCACCGGATAGATGTTTCTGCGGTAATAAACTAATCAAGCTTAACATTGAACAATATATCCTTTCATTCTTTTCTTTTGTTTTCCTTGGATTTTACTATGCAGCAGTAGTTCTCTAGCTTTGGTTTCTTACAGTATGATCTGTCTTTTCAAACAAAATTAGAAACAATGTAATACAAGAAACTTAGGCATCTAATTGAAGTTTTAATAAGATCATTCTGACTGTAACGGAGGCTGGAGAACAAGTTTCCTTCTGTGTGTTCAATAAACATTGGTGTTTGTGTGGTCTGTGATTACTGTAACATAAGTCATGAACATGGTGGAAACTGTGGACACGTCGGTGTTAATTACTTAGATGGTTACATGTAAGCATTAGCACTCCATGGACAGTGACACTGAGTATATTGCAATACGCACATGCTAGAAAAATATTTTCTATATGACTTGTACATTTTTGGTTTTTTTACAAGGAAATGACAGATGATACAATAAAATTTGCCCTTTTTTTCCTTTCTTCTAGTTCTTTGATAAATTAAAATGTGGAGGATAACACAGCTCCCTCATATTTTTCACTTCTGTTACTGAAAGTAAGAAAAAGATCTACTAATATACATATTTTACCTAATGAAGCATTTTCAAGATTGCTGAAGCTTCTGGGTTCTGTCTAGATAATAGGGACTGGAAACTTATTGAAGCTTGTTTGTCGTTTCAGTTTTCTCTCTTTGGAGAAATCAGCATTTCTGCATGTCATAGGAGTTGTCTGCAAGAAATCGATATATTGAATGAGTTTTTGTTAGTATTTTGGTGTTGAGGTTAATCCCAATTAAGGTGAGGAAGAAATTCAAACAATGGTATGACAACTAATAACGCATAGACAGTTCCAATACAATTCCATGGAACCTGGAAAGGATGAATTCCAACCTGCATCCCAGTCATATTTGCAGGACTCTCTGAGCAGCAGCATGCATACTGATATGAGATCTAATGACCTTAATATACCAGAAATTAAACCTGTACATAATTACTCCATACAGACTGGAGAGGAGTTTGCTCTTCAATTTATGCTTGATCGAGTGAACCCCAGGAAGCCTTTGAATCCGAATGCTGTTGGTGATCCAAGTTATGCAACAGATTATATTGAACTAAAAGGAATTTTAGGAATCAGTAATACAGGGTCTGAGAGTGGGTCAGATACTTCAATGCTCCCTTTAGCTGAAAAAGGGCCAAACCAGTTTGAAAGAAACAGGTCATCTTTAAATGATGACAGGAATAACTATGCATCAGTTCAATCCGTACCAAGAGCTTCATCAGGCTATGAAAATAGTCATATTCATCGATATGCCTCTTCTGGAGCCTCTGATAGTTCATCAATGAAAATGAAAGTTCTCTGCAGCTTTGGAGGTAAAATCTTACCCCGACCAAGTGACGGGAAGCTCAGGTATGTTGGAGGTGAAACACGCATTATCCGTGTAAGAAAGGACATTTCCTGGCAGGAGCTTATACACAAAGCTTTATCAATTTATAATCAAGTGCATGTAATTAAATATCAGCTTCCTGGAGAGGATCTTGATGCCTTAGTTTCTGTATCTTGCGACGAGGATCTGCAGAATATGATGGAAGAATGGAATGAACTAGAAGATAAAGAAGGACCACAAAAGCTTAGGATGTTTTTGTTCTCCATGAGTGATCTGGATGATGCTCAGTTTGGTCTGCACAGTGTGGATGGTGATTCTGAGGTTCAGTATGTAGTTGCTGTCAATGGAATGGACCTCGGGTCGAGAAAAAACTCGACTCTACTTGGTATGACGAGCACTTTAACAAATAATTTGGATGAGTTAAATGGACAGAATATTGAGAAGGAGACAAGTAGGGTTGCAAAAGACTCAATACAGGTAGGCACTTCAAGTTTAACTGGCAATATTGTTTCATCAAGAACCGTTCAGTCTTCTGAACCAATGCTACCTAACTTTTCAAATGCCTATGACATGTATCCTCATTTTCAGCATAGCCAGGTGATGCATTATGGACAAAATGTGCAGTACTCGTTGCACAATGGACATACCCTTCCAAGTCACTCCCCATTTGGAGGAACTACTGTTTCAGTGCCTCATCATGGAATTATGAATCAACAAGGAGGTTCAATTGAAGAGCAGCCATCTGGTCGCTCAAGAGAACAAAATTTTGAGATGCCAGTAAAGCAGGTGAAACGTGATGGTTCACTGCAGCAAGAGAGTGATCCTGAAAAACTTCGCCCCTCGGGGAAAGAGCACTCTGTCCCTTTACAGCTGTATGATGGTAATTTGATGAACCATATTCCTGTTGAAGAAGCATCAAAAGATGAAAGAAAGTACCAGGAACCTGAAAAGGTTGCTTCATCAATTGATTCTGGGAACCCAGTGCTGGTTCATAAATCCAGCGAAATTGAACATAATTCCACATCTAGCAATGCATTTGCTCCTGCTTATGCTGACCATTTGTCTAATGGAGTTGATTTCAGTTACCAAGAGCCAGCTGTGCTTCCTAAAAGAGTCTACTACTCAGAAAGAATTCCCAGGGAGCAGGCAGAGTTGCTGAATCGTTCATCAAAATCTGATGATTCTCATGGTTCCCCGTTTCTCATAACTCATTCTCGTTCTGATGTCACCCAGAAGGATCCAATCACGGAAGGAGTTAACAAATTGCATGAACATGGAAACCTTGCTCCCCAGACTGAACAGTCTACCCCAACGGTATATGTGGATGCTCAAACTGTTGATGATGGACTTGCCCAACTTCAGAAGTACAAAGAGTTTGCTGATTCAATTTCTCAGATGAATGCAAAGCTTTTGCAAGATACAGATGGCGAACTAAAACAGGCATTACCAACCCATGTGGATAATATAGAGACTGCAAAAAAGGATAGGATTCTTGAGTCTGACCAAGAAACAAACTTCCCTAAAGATAGCCATAAGAATAACATTGTAGAAGCTGGATCACATATCAGTGGGATACCTTCTGTAAAGCACCAGGAGCTTTCTGCATCTAATCATTCTGAGCTTAATCAGGAAGAGGCCACTGGCAAGGATCCAAGTACTGTTGACACTATGGGCCGTGCTCAGCCCATTACTTTGACAGGGAAGTCGTCTAAAGATGTTTCTCAAGAAACAGCTCCAGTTGGTGCTTCTACTCCAGTGGAGGGAGACATCATTATTGATATTGAAGAACGATTTCCTCGTGATTTCCTGTCTGATATATTCTCCAAGGCAGTACTTTCTGAAGACTCCCCTGATTTTGGTTTGCTGCAAAAGGATGGAACTGGTTTGAGCTTAAATATGGAAAATCATGAACCCAGACGCTGGTCATATTTCCAGAAGTTGGCACAAGAAGGGTTTGATAAAAAAGATGTTTCTCTTATTGACCAGGATCTTGGTTTTCCGTCTGTGATTGGAAATGATGTGGAAGGAGATAGTAGATCTTATCATCTCACACCATTAATAGCAGCTGGAGTTTCAATGGTCCATGTGGATTCTCAGCCTAAATTTGCGGAAGACATTCAAAAAGACTTGCCTGGAATGACTCAAGCTGAAACAACAGTTCTGCATTCTAATTATGATCAACTCCAAGTGAAGGACACCGAAAGTATGCAGTTTGAGGGAATGATGGAAAACATAAGAGCGCAAAATTCGGAGTATGAGGTAGTCTTTTGATCAGGTCTCATTTTTCTTAACAAATTGCTCCTTTGCTAACAATGTTCCCATAACTTGGATGTAGGAGGGGAATTTTGCAAGCAGAAAAGCTGGTTTGCCTCCTTTAGATCCTTCTCTGGGAGATTTTGATATCAGTACCTTGCAGGTGTGATGCTTACATGTTAAATAATTTGATATAAGAGTTTTCTTTTTTTAACTTGGTTAAATGCAATATTTGTCTATTAAGCGATTGGCTATAGAAAAAGCTATACAAAAAGTTTACTTCGTTCGAGTGTGATGCTTACATGTTAAATAATTTGATATAAGAGTTTTCTCTTTTTAACTTGGTTAAATGAAATATTTGTCTATTAAGTGATTGGCTATAGAAAAAGCTATACAAAAAGTTTACTTCGTTCGAGTGGGTGTAGCTCTTAGTAGAAAGTTTTGCTTTGTTCTCATTTCCCTATCCACCTCCCTCTCCCTAACCCCCCTGATTTAGACAACAAATATAGTGCTTTGCATTGATGAGACCTGGTTATTCCATATTTTAAGAAACAAAAATTTTCAATGTTGTTAGAACTTGGCTTAGGATTTGGATCTGGATAATAATGTCAATAGCCCTCCTATTAGTATCAGAAAATGAGAATATCGCATCATTTTGTGTTCATTCCCATTTCGTCACAGTTTCTTCTAATTGAATAAATCTCACATATATGTCTAGAAACCCATTATATGCAAGCATAGTGAATATCTTATGTCATGAAAGGATGAATTGGGGTTGGGATAAAATAGAAAGAAACATTACGTTCAATATTGTCCTCATCCAAAAGAAAGACTACTTGTGCATGCATACTTGGGCACATGGACACACACACACACACACAGAGAATCATCCCTAATGTTTAATATGAAATGTTTTATCATTCATTAATTGTACTGTGGAGATTTTGAGTAATCTCTATGGGCTTCAGGTGTTTCACTGTTGTTAAAGCATTTGGTCCCCCAGTTAATTGGTTATTCATTTTCTTTTATACATCTACACAAACTTGCTAGTAAATGCACTGGATCTGTTATTTTGGTATTGGTTAACCTACTTTTGCCAACAGAATAGACTTTCCATTTGACATCTCTTTGATTCTTTCTTCTTCGTGCACATGATAGTTGATAAAGAACGATGATCTCGAACAGCTGAAGGAACTAGGTTCTGGTACATTTGGGACTGTGTATCATGGAAAATGGAGGGGCAGTGATGTTGCCATTAAGAGACTAAATAAGAGCTGCTTCACTGGGAGATCATCAGAGCAAGAGAGATTGGTAGCCTTTCTTCCCCACCTCTGAATTGTGCAATGAAATTCACATTTATTGAAAAGCTTGTAGAGAAAATATATTCTAATATTTATGTTGCTTCTGTGACACATTAATATTTTCCTTTTCAAGGCCATAATGGTATTTCTTACTCAATTGTCAGAGTATAGAGTTCTGGCGGGAAGCTGACATTCTTTCAAAGCTTCACCATCCAAATGTTGTGGCGTTTTATGGTGTAGTGCAAGATGGACCAGGGGGAACACTTGCTACCGTAACTGAGTACATGGTTGATGGTTCTCTTAGGCATGTCTTGCTTCGAAAAGATAGGTAATGATCCATTGATGCTGTCCTATACGTTTCTGCTTTGTTTCATGCGCTCAGATCATCATGGCAATACTAGACAATCATGAAAGTACACTAAGCTTTTGATGTATTTTTATCTGTATGTTTCAAGTTCACTGTTTCTGAATGGCAGCAGTTATTTCGTTTATTTTCACCTTCTTTCTTTTAATCTTATTATGCAGGTATCTTGATCGTCGCAAGCGACTAATAATTGCTATGGATGCAGCATTTGGAATGGAATATTTGCACTCAAAGAATATTGTGCATTTTGACTTGAAGTGTGACAACTTACTTGTGAACCTAAAAGATCCTGTACGGCCAATTTGCAAGGTAATTATCATGAAGTTATCAATACTAGAAATGGTTAACTTTCTTTGTTAGCAACTTACCATGAGTAACAACAATAATATGTGTTTCTTCCCAGGTCGGTGATTTTGGGCTTTCAAAAATCAAGCGAAATACCCTGGTTTCTGGTGGTGTACGGGGAACATTACCATGGATGGCACCAGAGTTGCTGAATGGCAGCAGCACTAAGGTATCTGAAAAGGTAAGATTTCTGTTTAAGTTTTATTTTTACGATGGAAATAGAAATAGATAAATAGTGAGGGATAGAATGTGTATCAATTTAGCCCATTTAAATATAGGGCAGTCTGCAGCTAACGTGATTGAAGTCTCTTACTGGATCTCTTTCTAGTTTTTAAAAAAATGTCAAATTGGTGAAGTTGTTCTTTTGATTTTTTTAAATTTTTTGTTTGTTCATCTCTTGTTCTCTCTTCCTTCTGTTTCTTCTAGTGTAGAAAGAAACTTAGGAACATATATATTTTTTCCCCGGATCTGAATGATTTCGGATTAACCTGGTACATTTGCATATCTAGGGACTTCATTGCTTCCCTTGTCTGATTCTTGATAAAATGCTGTAGGTTGATGTATTCTCCTTTGGTATTGTCTTGTGGGAGATTCTTACTGGCGAGGAGCCATATGCCAACATGCACTATGGAGCAATTATAGGTGATTGTTTTACTCTATTGTTTTGGTTGAGCTGGAGCTTGCATGTCAATATTGTTGCACCATCGAAGACTGATGTTTGCCTCACGGTTAACTTAATTTCAATTTGTTATTATTACTCTCTCTCTCTCTCTCTCTCATGTATGTATGTATGTAATTATTAACTCACTGCTACAGATTTAAGTGTTTTGAATTTCTTTTAATACATGCAGGAGGTATTGTAAATAACACATTGAGACCCACCATTCCAAGTTATTGTGATCCTGAATGGAGAGTGCTTATGGAGCAGTGTTGGGCTCCTAATCCTGCGGCCAGGCCATCTTTCACAGAGATTGCCGGTTGCTTACGAGTAATGACTAAAGCTGCTAGCCAACCCAAAGCACAGGGTTATAAAGCTTCTAAATGATCATTTGAACACAGTGTGGCGTTTTTTCATGCTTTAGACATGATACATTTATTCATTCAATTGGTACCTCATAAGATAGTGTGTATGATATCGTATTTGGAGCGCAGATCCACGATTTTCCACTTTTTTCCGGAATGGAATAGGCTCCTTTCAAGTAATTTTCTTTTATTTTGCTTTCTTCCCCTGAAACTCACAAAATTGTAGTAGAATGTTTTAGCTTCACAAGGAGAATGCACGGTTGCGAGTTGGTTTCTACTATTCTTACAAATGCATTTTCTACTAGCTTTCAACATTTCTGATTTACTATAACTTCTTATTTGGTAGGCCAATTTGGCTATAAATGGGGCCTTCAAAGAGCTTTGTGTTAGAACACTTTGACTGGTTTATTTGGTCCCAAGCAAGTAGCAATCTTCAAAGCTACAATGCTAATTTTATAACTGAAGTGTATTGAGCCCAAGTGAGAGCACTAGGAAGATCTTTAGAAACCAAATTTCTATCATCACTGGGATCTTCGATTAGAAGATAACTCATTTTATTACTTTCCAATAATAAAATAAAATGACTGCCAAGGCTTAACCAAATCAGCTGCAACGTCGACAAATGATATCATGGAGGAGGCTAGGAGGAAGAAGCATTGTGCACTTGCCATGCAGAAGCCAGCATTATGGGCCTGCCTTTCCACCCAAGGAGGAGGCAACCCTTCTCACTAGCCAAAGTGTACCCATCGCAGCCATAAACAGATAGCATCATCCTTGCTTGACTTGTACACTTCAACCCCATCACTTGAAACCCAGCGCGGCCCAATTGCCTTCTCCATTGGTCTGCCCTTTCGTGCCTCTCGATCCGATTTAAGCCCTCAAAAGCAACAATGTTTCTAATTTCGTTGGCGAAGTGCTGCCTCTCTATCTTCATCCTCTGAGGGCTATTTCGTGGGAGGCTAGCCTCGAGTGAGTCGAAAATGGCAGAATAAAAGTGAAGAGACTCGAGGAATCTCCCAAGGAAAAATGGCCCATTATGATTCGCATCTTGTTCCACCAATGTAAGAACAGTTGGACCTAATTTCTTCAAGGCTTGGAGGATTGCCTTCAGAGAGCCTCTACTCTCTTTAACATACTTATGCAAGTGCATGATGCTATTGACAAATAATGCTTCTCCTTCTCTCAAGTCCAGGTTCTCTCTAGTTAGAAGTGATGGTTTTACTGGTTCTGATATCATGTTGAATTCTGTTGGTATGCCTAGTGAGCTAGCCTCCTCCACCAGGGCTTTCATGCCTGCTTCAAGTTCAAACACATTGTGATCTTCAACGAGTCCTGTGATTCGGAGCTTCTTAGGCGGGCCCTCCGGCCTTGATGCCAGGGTTCTTATCAAGGATGGCCACTGAAGAGTGTGTTCCATTCCCAAATCAATGATGTGCAGGTTTTCCTTCCCTTGTGCTGCTTGACATATAGCTTCATTTGCAACCATGAAGCCAAAAGCTATGTAAGGAGTTGTTTGGTTAAGGAGTTGAAAAGCTTCCAATTTCTCCTCCCTAGAGGTCAAAGAGACATCCATAGTATCATTGTTGAATGTACCATTTATATTGACATTATGAAGAAGAGAAAGCCTTGACCTCAATCCCATTGCAAAGCAGGATGAGACTCTCTGCAAAGAATCACCCCAAGGACTAACTGAAGCCCAAATTTGGCTGAGCAAAGATTCTGCAAGTTTGGCGTCCCTGCAGCCCACAGCCTCAGCACAAGCCAACAACATGTGCACCAAGTGAAGCCCTTGGTCCACTCCATGGCTCACCTCTTCGACACTAGGCACCATATTAGTTTCTCCAACTCCAAAATCCTCAGCCAAGCCACCCATCTCCATGTCATCTCCTTCCATCATCATCAGAACATTTCCATACATATCATCCACCATTGAAAATGTCTCCATCCCATCTTGATCATAGTAATCAAAACTTTGTGGCTTCTCCAAGGATTGAATATCATCATCCCTACAATGATCCATATTGATGAAGCTGTCAACAAAGTCATCTACCTCTGAGGCTGGCAAGCAAGGAGGGCTTGTGGTCTCAGAGGGTGAAGAGAACTCAATCTCATTCAGTATTTCCTCCCATTCTCCTCCTTGTTCTTGCTCGACTCTTGCTGGACAAAACCTTCGAATGGCGAGATCGTGGTTGAGACTCTCATGTAAGGGGAAGGAGAGCCAACCATTGAAGTCTTCCATTGCTAGTTTTTGGAGGAGATTAGGGGAGAGAAGAGCAAGGCAATAAAAGAGATTAGAGACTAGAGATTTTAGGAACTTGGATGGTTCCCCTACTCAGAGTGTGTAAAATGGCTGTTCCTTTATTAACTATGCTGAGCTAGAATACTCCCTTTGTTTTGAGGTGATGGGCAATGATCTCTCCTACAAAATAAACTATTCTATGGAGAGCAATGGTTAGATATATATAAGGTGAAAATAATACATTTTTGTAGATGTGACCCTAAAAAAACACAGCTGATTCTTGCAGATGGGTTGCTGAGCTTTGACATTTTGAGACATTAAAAAATCTCACCATGTTTCTATGCATCATATTTGGCTTCCTCCTCAAAGTGAACTAAGGTGGAAACAGCAAGTTTTTTCTTGTTATTGGATGTAGAAAGGTTTAAGGAATATGAATTTGTGCTGCAAATTTAGTAGCCGGCCTTGAAAGACAAACAGTTGGGGATTTTTGGGTCGGTAACCTCAACCAAGATGTGGGCTCCACAGTTTATGATTTGGTGTCATTTGTTGTTTGTCTCTAAGTCATTCTCAGCTTGGTCGGCCAACAAGCAATGAGACATAGGAGGTGGCTTCTGGTTGCAACCAATTTGGTTTGCTTCATGTTTATTATGCAGACGACTAGGTTATAGCATGCCAAGCCAACCCCTCAGCAGCTCATAATTATGTATGGTCAGTTGCTAATACAGAAGAAAGTGGTGGATAATAAATTTATATCCTGCCATTTTAGAAACAGAAAGCAAAAGAAAAAGGTTAAGAAACCCTTTTTCACAATGAAGTTGTTTAGAGAATGTGGGATTTTACGAAGTATTTAGGAACTCACGTCTTCCTCTAGCAAATCTATGCTTCTTTTCTTTTTTGGTTGCTGGTTTTGCTTTTTGTTGATGTGAAAATCTGGATCAACGGTCAAGATTGAATCAAGCAATCACAATCACACACATAAACACAAATTGTGAAGGGTTGCAACTTAAATGGAGGCTCGAGAGCGTTTTGAGAGTGAACAAAGGCATTACAAAGAGGAGAGTCCTTGCATAGTGTCATTCCTTGTCCACTTGTGTGCTTTTGGATTTGGGCTCAGCCAGTGGTTGGACCAACCAACCACACAAACACTTTTATTGTTGTCGGTGCCCCACAATCATATTGTTTTTTTTTCTTTTTTTGGGTCAAAACCCCACAATCGTATTGTTACATGCCTCGTCTTAGAGATAGCCCGTTATCCATTAACCAAACAAAAAGTGTGGGCTTAGCACCTAGGGTTGGGGGAAAGGGAAAAGTGAGCCTAGGATATCGGGAAGGGGGAATTGAACTTAAAACTTCCCATAACTATGTTTTAATAGAATTTTCAAAGACAAGTTTATTCATTTAAAAGATTATTTAAAAACACTTTTTTTATGTACAAGCGATATTGAATGAGAGGGAATCGAACCTAAGACGTCAGATGTAGTGGTAAATATTTTTAACTATTTGAGCTACAATACCCTTCATTTAAAAGTACTACAATTATAAAAGGAACTAGCTCCAAATTCAAAATATAAAAGTGCATATGTGAGTTAGGTTAATTGACTAGGCAATGTGCATGTCCCTTGCACATGAATTTGATCCCTCTCTCCGTATATTAAAGTAGTTTAGAATATCACATTGTTAAAAAAAAACATCAAATATAAGTAAAATTGTAATATTACATCTAGCCTTCAATAAGAAAAATTCATAAATCCATAGGCACAGTTTAGAATATCTAATCCGATTTCCTCCAAAATGTAACCGAAAAAAGGCACAGCTTGAATGCCAGGACAGCTTGCACAAGTCTGTCACCTGAACATGACAATGTTATAAAATAAAATAAAAGTCTGTCACGTGAACATGACAATGGTCAATAGACTCCCAAGTGAATGGGACCCTTTCAGTCACGTGACCTCATGAGATTGCTCCACGTCCCACCGCGTGCTTATCTGGACAAAACCATCTTTCCAAAAATACCCTCACATAATAAGCTGTCTTTTTCCTCATACGTCACAGTGGTATACGTGAGCATCCTTTTCTACTGCAACTCCAGTGGCTTTCCGCCACGTGTCAGTTCTGAACATAACTCCTCGAATAGTCAGAACTCTCAGTGTTGGAAACGTGTCAACCTAACGATGCCCTCAGAAGAACTCTCTCTGTCTCTCTCTCTCTCTCCTAAAAGACCCAACATTTCAAACTTTCTCTGTCCCTCCTTTTTAACTCTCACACACTCTCTCTAAATTTCTCTCTCTTAGGGTTTCTGCCAAGGACAAGGTTCAGCTAAGCTTTGATGGGTAAGTCTTAATTCTACTTTCTCTTCGGGGGTTCTTGAGAAATTTCCTTGTTAGATCGTTCGTTGGGTTGGTATTTTCTATGTATCCTCTGTTTGGTTGCTGGGAATTTCAGGCAAGAAAAAGGGAAAATCTTCCATTTTTGTGTTTTTATGTTGTTATAGATTATGTAATAATTAGTGGTTTCACTTAAGTGGATAATGGAAAGAGAATTATAATTTTAGCTGTATGTGTCATTTTATATAAATTCCTCAGCAACCAAACAGTGCATTAGGGGTTTGGATGTGGTAAGATAAAATTAAGCACTTCCTGTTTCCTCTCTTAATTGTTTGTTTACAAAAGCTGCATCTTTTGGTTAAAAGACTGATATTATTCAAGCTTTACTTGTTAGAAACTTGAAGGCATGCAGTTGGCAACTGCCTGTTTATTTTGCATGATGGCTCATGATAACTTAGTTTTAGGCTGATTTTGAGATTTGATATGATAGGTTGATATTATTTGCATTGTCTTCTTCTTCTTCTTCTTCTTTTATTTTTATTTTAGTTTTAAATAAAGGTTCGTGTGTGTATATTGTTTGTGTTGCCAATGGCTTTTGCCTTTTGCCTTTTGGTTATGTATATGTGATTCTATGTATGCTACATGCAAGTGTCGAAAAGTGTCATAAAACAATTTGGCAAAAGAATGATGTTAGTGAAGGAATGGTGGTGGTCATTTTGCCTTGATAAGCAGGGAATATTGGCTAGTTTGGATCTGTGTGGGTTTAAATGTTTCAATTGTTTCCATTGATATGTAACAGGGAAAAAAAGATGACTTAGAAAAAGTAAAATTCTGAAATTAGCTAGCCGTGGCCTAGGCATGGGGGGTTAAGCATGTATAGAGTACATTAATGAATGGAAACAGAACTCAGTTTATTGGAGAGACTTATGACTTTAAATGAAGCTTATTGCATATCTGAGTTTTCCTTCACCAATCCAAAGTTCTCCCCAGCTTTTGGTAATAGTTTCTCCACATTAGTATTCAAAGAACTACAACCCTGACTATCCCTTTGAAACAGGAGTTGGAGATGCTTGAAACAATTTGGTTTTGGTGAAAAAGTGATGATTGATGTTTACGATTTTTTAATGTATTGCGTATTTATTTGAATATTTAAGAAAAGTGTGACTCAAACTTCGTTTGACCTTAGAATTATTATGCTCTGTCAAAACCATTTATTCTGCATCAAAGAGAGGAAAAATGTGTTTAATTAGGACCTAGAATAGATGCTAAAGTTCATGAGTTGCCGATGTACTGATGTAGAGCAGAATGAGTTTTTTGTTTCCTCCCAACTCAGGAGAATGAAAGAGGAGTTCTTTTAGCATTCTCTTTGTGCTGTGGTTTTTATTCTTGTCTTGTAGAGGTCCAATATATTTTAATTTGTTTTATTCTTTATCCAGCATTGTGATTAGGTAACATTAAGAACAAGAAAGATACTTTCCCGTAATTAACCATGAATCACTCAGAACAAACACTACAGCAACAGCAACAGGAGCAACACCATCAGCAGCAGCCTGTGGTGGGTGTTGTGGCAAGTGGAGGCCAATTGACATATGCACCTCCTTCCTATCAAACTGCTCCTATGGTGGCTTCTGGAACTCCTGCTGTGGCCGTCCCTTCCCCAACACAGCCCCCTGCCGCTTTCTCTAATTCCTCGCATCAGATTGCCTACCAGCAAGCCCAGCATTTCCACAACCAACAGCAGCAGCAACAACAGCAGCAGCTTCAAGTGTTCTGGGCCAACCAAATGCAAGATATTGAACAAGCATCTGACTTCAAGAATCACAGCCTTCCTCTTGCAAGAATTAAGAAAATAATGAAAGCTGATGAGGATGTTCGAATGATATCTGCTGAGGCTCCAGTGATATTTGCAAAGGCATGTGAAATATTCATCCTGGAGCTGACTTTGCGCTCATGGATTCACACAGAGGAGAACAAAAGGAGGACGTTACAAAAGAATGATATCGCAGCTGCTATTTCGAGGACTGATGTCTTTGATTTTTTGGTTGATATTATCCCAAGAGATGAGTTGAAAGAAGAGGGACTTGGAGTGACTAAGGCTACAATCCCAGTGGTGGGCTCCCCAGCTGATATTCCATACTATTATGTACCGCCACAACATCCTGTGGGAGCTCCTGGGATGATCATGGGGAAGCCAGTGGATCAAGCGGCAATCTATGCTGCTCAACAGCCTCGACCACCTATGGCTTTCATGCCGTGGTCTCAGCCTCAACCTCAGCAGCCACAGCAACAGCAACAGCAACAAGAAGCCCAACATCAGCAGACAGATACTTGATGTTAATGATTCTGGCCAAGCTGTTCTCAAAGCCATTCCCAGGCAAAGCTTCTTAATTGTTAGAGATGAGTTTTAATACTGTTGGATTAGTTGGCGATTGTGATGCAGTGGATTGTGCAGTGAGCTAATGTTAGGTTGTATTGTGTATGTGCTTGTATTGCTTCTGATTCGAAAATTTACCTTAATTGTGTGTTTATTATCTCGGCCCTTTCTTATTTGGCCTAGTTTGTTCTTAAATTAGTTTGCTTCAGCAGAGGATCAAGAGAGCTTTAGAAGCTTGAAAATTGACTGAAAAATATTTTTATAGTGCTTTTGTTTGTTATGATGCTACTTTGACTGCTGTGAATTTTCTGCCCATTTTTTGCCAACATATCTGAACTTCATCTTGCATCATTGTTCTTTCTAGGTATTCAAAAGGTTGACTTTCATTGGGTGGTTCCATCTTCCATGGTGCCTGGTTGGCCCAATTAGCTATTCGTTTAGTGGTACTTCTTTTCTTAATATTGGAATAACTCCCGAGTTTGAATTTTCCATCAAAAGAATATTGAAAAAAGAAGTACTACTAGGATTAGTTGGTCCTTCTTTAGCCTAATTAACCAAAAAATAAAAAATCTATACCTTGAGTTAATTTCACAGAAGAATAAGAAGAATAAAATCGTAATTATATTTTTTTAATGTGAATTGGATGACTTCAAATCGATGTATTCATCATTTATGGCAGAAAAGTAGGAAAAAACAAAGGTGAACCCAAACAACAATATCTCGTCAATAGAATCCCCACAAAATATCACGACACATACGATAAATTCAATCTCAACGAATAACGGTCAGCGTACGTGCACTAGATTTCGCTCCCTCTCTCTCTGTTTCAAAACCGAAGCAAGTAAAAAACCTTCCAAAAATGTCTCTTTGATTTCATTTCGATTTCCAAAAATCTTCCACATTGAATTAGCTCTATATTTTCCATTTACAAACCTCCAAAAAACCATCTTCTTGATTTTTATTTTCATCTTTTGAAATCCCTAGGGTTTAATTCACCATTAACTCAAAACTTCAAAGGCTTGGGCTTTTCTTGCTCTGTTTTTCCCCTGTTTCTTCCTAAAACCATAAACCACCCCACACCAATCCAAACCCAACTCACCAAAAATCAAATCCAGAGTTTTGTCAATTTGTTCTTCTGAGGTACATTTGCAATCTGCTGCTCTGTTTTCTATTGTGCTCTCGCTCTCTCAAGATTTTGTAAGTGGTTGTATTGCATTTTTCTCGATGATTAATGCTTGTGTGGTTTTTATTTGTGATTCTCTTTTAAGGGCTCTCTTTAAGTTTACATGCTGTTCATGGTTTGCTAGAACAATCTATAACCGCTTTTTCTGTTTGAGGACTAGTAAAGCTTGATTTGTTAAGATTTATATTGATCATCATTTTCCTTGTTTGTGCTTTGTGGTTGTTCTTCGAATGTTCATATTGGTTCTTCATTTTTTCTTGGAAAAAATAAATGTCAGGCTCCATTGAGGAAAACTGCTACTCTCTCTCTCTCTCTCTCTCTCTCTCTCTCTCTCTCTCTCACACACACACACACACAATTGAGAAATAAATCCAAAACTCATTTAGGAAGTGGTCTTGTTAAAGCTGAGTATGTGCTTCTAATGGCTTTGTAATTTAGTTTTCTATGTATGATTTTATTCTGTTTTTGTTATCCATTTGGTTCTAAGACTTGGACAATTCTTGCAGTCTGAACATATGGCTAACCAGAAACCACCAAAAGAAGATTTTTCCCTCAAGGAAACCTCGCCGAACATCAGTGGCCGGAGGGTCTCCACTGGCCCCATGACCGCCTTTGACCTTGTGGAGCACATGCAATATCTGTATGTGAGGGTTGTGAAAGCCAGAGGATTGCCAGCTATCGCTGACCCTTATGTTGAACTGAAGCTTGGGAACTACAGGGCAATCACAAGACCCATGGTAAAAAACCCAAACCCGGAATGGAACCAAGTGTTCGCTTTTTCGAAAGACAGAATTCAGGTTGTCAGTGTGGAGATTTTGGTGAAGGACAAGGCTGTTGTTGCAGAAGGTGGTGATCATAGAACCATTGGGAAGTTTGCTTTTGCATTGGTCGAGGCTCCCACTAGAGTTCCCCCGGATAGTCCATTGGCGCCGCAATGGTATATGCTGGAGGATAAAAACAAGGCTAGGATTGGAGGGGAGTTGATGCTGTCATTTTGGATTGGGACACAGGCAGATGAGGCCTTTCCTGAGGCTTGGCATGCTGATGTGGCTGCGGTAAGCGGTGATGGTGTTTCAAGCACTCGTTCCAAGGTATATCTTTCACCTAGGCTTTGGTACATGAGAGTTAATGTGATTCAAGCTCAGGATCTTGTGCTTAAAGACAAGAACAAAAAAACACCAGAGTTTTTTGTGAAAGCTCAATTTGGGAATTTGATCTTGAGAAGTGGAGTCTCTCGAAATAAGACCGTGAACCCTACATGGAATGAGGATCTAATGTTTGTTGTAGCAGAGCCGTTTGATGATCCTTTGGTGGTGAGTGTGGAGGAGAAATTGAACAATAACAAGGAAGAATCCATGGGGAGGATTGTGGTTCCTTTAGGGGATGTCGCGAAGAGGAATGATGCTGCTGCTGCTGCTCCCAAGTGGTATAATCTCGGGATGGTTGAAGTGGTTGCGGGTGTGCAGAAGGAGGTGAAGTTTGCCAGCAAGGTCCAAATGAGGGTCAGTTTGGATGGAGGGTACCATGTTCTTGATGAGCCTGCTCACAGCTCCAGTGATCTTAGACCAACAGCAAAGATACTGTGGAAACCACCAATTGGGGTTTTGGAACTGGGAATCTTGAATGCAACTGGATTATCGCCGATGAAGCCTAAGAATCAGGTTGACGCGTATTGCGTGGCTAAGTATGGCATGAAGTGGGTTCGAACAAGGACGGTTGTTGATAGTTTTTCTCCAAAGTGGAATGAGCAATATACTTGGGAAGTCTATGATCCATGCACAGTCATTACTATTGGAGTTTTTGACAACGGAAATTTGCAGGATAAGGCTGCTATGGATTTAAGCATTGGGAAGGTAAAGATTCGGCTCTCCACTCTCGAAACTGATAGGATTTACACACATTCTTATCCTCTTGTGGCTTTACAACCTTCCGGGGTGAAGAAGATGGGCGAAATCCAATTGGCTGTGAGGTTTTCTTGTCCAAACATGCTTAACTTATTGCAATTATACTCACAGCCTCTGTTGCCGAAAATGCATTACGTCCTCCCACTATCTATTTACCAACTTGCTAGTTTAAGACACCAAGCCGCTTTGATTCTCTGGTTGAGGCTGAGCCGTGCTGAGCCACCATTAAGAAAAGAGGTTGTAGATTGTATGTTGGATGCCACTGCACATCTCTGGAGCTTTCGAAGAGGCAAGGCCAATTTCGACAGGATCATCAAACTTTTCGATGGTCTCGTTGCGCTTTTCAAATGGTTTGATCAAATACGCAAATGGACTAATCCGCTTGCCTCGGCACTTGTCTACATTACCTTTGTGTTTGTGCTTTGTCAACCTGGTTTGACAATCGCCGCGTCGTTTTTGTGCTTGTCTTTTCGAGGGGCTTTGAACTACCGAAAGAGGCCGAGACAGATTGCTCACATAGATACAGAACTGTCACATGCCTATGATGTACATCCAGAGGATTTGGATGAAGAGTTTGATTCATTTCCATCAAAAAAGACCGGTGATGTTCTGAAGAGGAGATATGATCGGCTCCGGGGCATTGCAGGGAGGATCCAGGCAGTGCTTGGTGACATAGCAACTCAAGGGGAGAGGGTGCAGTCTTTGCTCAGCTGGAGAGATCCAAGAGCCACAGCTCTGTTTGTGATCTTCTGTTTGATTGTTGGGATAGTGTTTTGTGTTGTCCCTGCTTGGTGGTTAGCTCTTTTTGCAGGAACTTATGTGATGAGGCCCCCATATTGGCGTATTAACATCCCTACATTCCCACAAAACTTCCTCAGGAGGATGCCAGCAAAATCAGATAGCATTTTATGAAGAGCTTTATAATCTGGTGACAGAATCATTTTTATCTTTTTTTTTCTAATTTCTGTCATTCGAAATACGTCTACGGAGTTTTTTTTCCTTGTTTAGTTTCTTCCTTACTCTCTTTTGTTTCCAAAGCAGAAGTTGGTATTTGTGAATGGTATCTTGCATCTGTATGTTCTTATGGTTGTGGCAAGCAACATTATTAACCATTGTTGAAAAAGTTACAAATACTCTATACAAAACGCAGTTTATCTACCTTGATTTTTTTCTTTTTTATGGTTCACATATTTCCAAACAATATTTTGACTCCCTCGTCAAAAGATAGAATTACATGCCAATTTAACGTGGGTTAGGCCGCCAATTGGCCTGGATAGTGAGTCAATTCCTTGCATCCAAGTTATGTCACACCCCAAAACTGAGATGTGATATAATGGAATTAAGAAGTGAATAAATGATAAACAAAAGCAGAAGAGTAGAAGGATTAATGCAAAAAAAATATTTAAAATGTAATGTTGGTCCAAAAATGATCATGTAGCATAAAAATTTGTTTCGAAACATGCTTTTTTTTTTCCCCTTCCCTTGGAACGACCGTACAATTAAATAAAGTGTAGAAAGCGTATTTACAATTGTAGAAAACATCATTAAAACAAATTCAAATATTTTCTTGTTCAAAACCCCCTACCTCAATTCAATGTGGTGCTGCTTCACTTCCCAATTTGTTCACCAACTTATCTCAAACTACATACTTTTGCACAACATCTTCCTAAGCCTTATTTTTATTATTATTTTCTCTTTGGAGCATTTCCTCAAACACTTCCAAGCTAACACGAGTACCAAAGAAGAACTCAACTTTTAATTCTCTCAATCATTAAATCAACTCTAAACTTCTAATCCAAGATTTATTAACCAAGTTCAGCACTTCCCAAAACGCATCAACATAAATCAGTCACCAATTTGCTTTCTTTGTTGTTTTTCAATAGTGGTCAAGACATGCATGGAAGAAATTCACATATACCAACAATCCACAAGTGTGCACTTGAAAATTAAATTTCTTTATTTAAAATGGAACCCCAAAAAAAAAACTTTAAGCTGTAATTCTTCTTCTATTCATCCATTCACTACCGATCTTCCCCATTTTTACCTTCGCAGAAATTAACCCTACCCCTAATTCCAACATTAAAGAAAAAAAAAAAAAAGCATCTTTTCAATTAATTTATTTTTTTTTTTTTTTTTTTTTTTTCTCTGTGGTCAATTTCAATTAGAATTTACTGTAGAGTAAATTTGCTCAGTCCTCATCAACTCCTTCAAAAGCCCAAGCATACTCTTCGCGGAGCTTCTGCTCTTCTTCAGGCGTGAAATCGTTCTCGACTCCGAACAGCTTCCTCACGTACTCAACGCTCTTGTTCTTGATCCGATCCGCCACGCACTGGTTCAGAACTTCGAGCAAATCATCGACGTGCAAGTAATCGGCGGCCAGGATCAGCTCCATGATGTGCTCGGTCGTCTCATCCTTGACGAAGTCCTGGTAGAACAGCCGAAGCTCCTTCTTCGCATTATCCTCGTGATCGGCCTTGCGCTTGAGCTCTAGCGTTTTGGTGCAGAAATTGATGATCTTGACGAGCTCGGCGCTGTTGACGTTGGGGATCGGCATCACCACTTCGCGCGAAACGCCTTCGTCTTGGAAGAACGCCTTGACGGTGTGAAACTCCATCGCGACGTTCTCATCGATCTCGAAGACCTCGCCCTCGGAGGTCTTGAGCGAGATCTTCGTCTTCTCCCCGTCCGGCGCGGCGTCGTTCTTCTCCTCCTCGGCCGACATGTCGTTTCAGGAGAGAGATTAAACAAGGGGATTAGTGTTTGATTTGTCGAGATTATGATAGGGATTTATAGGGAGTGTGGTTTCGGGGAAATGGAATTTGAAAAGTTAATTTCCAAATTAGGATTTGGTTTGTACCATTTCGACGAAAAATTAGGGAGAGCTGGAAGTGAGTGAGTGTGTTTAATCGTGTTCTCGCAAAAAATTTAAAATAAATAAATAAATTTGAAAATCACAGGCCCTGCAGCTACCCGGGAAAAGCTGTTTGTGGAGGAAGACCGGGTACGTGCATGACACGTGGACATGGCTTAAAAGATTTCAGCACGTCCTGCAAATTAGGAATTTTTGATCTTTAATTTTTTGGAAACCACAAAAATAAAGAATGAAAAAACACAAGGAAAATAAAAAGGTGTTCCTTCTTCGAGATTTACCTTCTTAAAAAATTGGAACTCTTAAAGAAACTTAATGAATGCATTCTTAGAACTCTTAAGTACATCATTAGAACAACAAACAAGGAATTTGATAATATATGTGTGTTTGTATAATTTAATCAAAGTGTTAATATATGTTCTAGTATACACATACGCATATGTATGTATCTTAGTATATAAATATCAGAAATAATAGTAAAAGTGTTAGCTTAGTATTTGTGAGTGAATACTATACCTTCTCGTAACTCTTTAGGTATTTTTCGATTTCCGTATTCGGTTGGTTTCGTTTTTACCAAACTTAACGTTTTCCCAAGTTCTGCCATATGTTTCGATAAAAAGAAGCTGGTAATTGGTCAGTCTCAGTATTTACCAAAACCAAACCAATTCTTTTTGGTATTTTGCTTTTGGATTTTTCGATTTCAGATTGTGAAAATTCATTAATATACCAAAATTAAAATTCGGTTGGTAACCGGTTCATTTGGTTTTCACCAAACCTAACATTTTTCTTAAGTTCTTCCATGTATTTCAGTGTGGTATTTTTCAATTTTGGATTTTTTTTTTCTCAATTTTTGAATTGTAAAAAACGATTTTCATACCCAAAAAATCGGTTGGCAATCGATTGGTTTGGTTATTACTAAACCAAATGGCAACCTAACCGGTAAGAGAAATACCACTAAACATAAAGATAGGATAGTTACAAAAACACTTTGATGGAATTTGAGGGTAGCATATCCGGACTCGCTAATCACAATTAAGTATCGAACTTACTATAAATATATAGGATTTTTAGTTGTTTACCCAATGAACTATCACCCTAATCGAACTTATCCCCATGAACTAAAAAATCTGTCAATTTAGCACTCGAATTAAATGATTTCGCTAATTTCACCTCTATCGTAGATTCTAGATGATTTCATCTAAACTTCCATCAAAATTCACATGTGGGTCTGACTTGGCTTCCATAAAAATAGTACGTATATTATCAAAGAAACTTATAACTTAAGACTTACGACTTGAGACTTCAAATCAAATCCACCACCTTTCTTGGCAATCGTTTAGATGGAAGTTTTTCTCCCCAATTAAGAAAACAATCCCCAACCCCATTTCCCAAATTTTCATTTTGTCCCCTTCGCAGAGCAAGCACTTCCCTCGCATGAAACCAGTTCTTTTCCTTCTTTAAAACCAAGAATAGGAGGGAAGGCTGAGCACAAAAGAGAGAAAAAAGCAGTAGAGACCGAGTGGGTTGAGGATTTTATTCAAATTGTGCCAAAGAAAATTTCTTTCTTAAATTAAGTCACTTTTCCAGACATACAAAGCTTGACATGGAAGAAGATTTCATTCATAAGCTTGACACAATTAACAAAAACAAAATAGTACGATGAAAAATAGATATTCTATTCTTGTATTAAACGCCTATATACTACAAAAAATGATACAATTGGCATTTTCATGTTGCATGGCCAAAGATCTTGTTGTAGACTTGAACGAGGAAAGCTCTATAATCCATATGAAGAGAGCGCAGAGGATGAAAGGTGGAGCCGCTTATTTAGCAGATTTTTCTCTTCTCCTCTTCCGACTCCTTTTCTTCAATAAACCTTTCTCTGCTAGGGTATTTAGTTTTTGTTTTTTCCGTTCTTTTTCTTTCTCTTCAAACCCATCATCCACCATCTTCATCGCTGCAACACGCCTAGCCTTGTAAATCTGCACATTGGAGGTGAAATACATAAGCTAACATTTCCAAAAATAAATATGGACATTGACGAATAATTTTTCCACAAGCTTTACCAGTCTAATAGCTGGTACATATATTTACTAAGGCAATACCTTGGTAATATCAGCAAGAACCTCATCCTCCTTGCACTCAAATTTCTCTATTTGTTTCCCAACAACATCTTCTATTTTATGAATGAGCTTTACATCATTCTGCAAAACACAATCTCCCTGTTTTAAACAAAAATACCACTCTCTCTACAAATAATCTCTTCATTTTTGTTTCAAACAAAAGAAAAGAAAATTAATAAAAAACCATCTTCCTCCCAGTTCTCAATAGTTAGAACTGTGAACGACCACCACAGATTTGTTGGGACTGGTGGAAACTAGGAAAGAGATTACTGAGCTACGAAATGCTAATTTTAACTCAATTCACAATGACCAAGTCTGCTACTTACTTGAGTAACAAGGCTGATAGCTAATCCTCCTCTGCCTGCTCTTGCAGTACGCCCCACGCGGTGAACATAATCCCTTGGATACCTGCAAGTAGATTGGCAATTAAATCCTACTTGAACTACATTTTCTACAGAGAGTAGCAATAATTAAAATCCATTGACAAATAAGACCTCGGAATGTCGTAATTGATTACTAGGTCAACTGTAGGAATGTCCAGACCACGACTGGCAACATCAGTTGCGAGCAACACAGGAACCTGTCCAGATTTGAATCGATGTAATGCAGCAAGTCTTAGAGACTGAGCTTTGAATGAATGCAATGCTGAAACTCTTTGATCAAGCTCCTCCAATAACAAACTCAAAAGGTGACAACTTCTGCTCACACATCATAAAATCATAGATTAATAATTAATTAATGATCTGTAAGTCAATTGGTTAGACATTCAACAAAAGAGCCACCCATGGCACTATAACATAAGCACTAGAAGTAGAAGAGCCCGAGAAAATCCAGACGAAGATCTTAAAAGAAAGAATACCTGCAGGTTGAGACAAAAATAATGGCAGAGCGAACACCCATATCCTCAAGTTTAGACAAAATGTATACCAGATACACATCCTTCACATTTTGGGATATGAAAACATATTCCTGCTTAAGAGTGTCAACTGTCTTGAAACCTTCATATGCCTCGTAGAAGTATGCCTTATTTTCAGAAAGTTCAATCAGCGATTGGAGGTCACTCGTCATTGTTGCAGAAAATAACAGAGTTTGCCGACTCTTTGGCAAGCACTGAAACACCACTCTCAACTCCTCTTCAAAGCCAGCATCCAATACTCTATCTGCTTCATCAAGAACTAGGAACTGAAAGAAAATGAAATAACCTATAACTATAAGTGCTGAGTTCGGAACTTCAGGGTGAGTATGAAAAATAAAAACACCATATGCTCCTCGTCCTGGATAACTAGTAAACAAGCAAAATCCATTGCAAATTTTTTATCTTCAAACAATCTTTTCATTAAAAATCCTAATCTTCCCGTTAGATATCCCTTTTCAAGCATCATCTACAAATCACCATTTCTCAAAAAAAAATCCTTAGCTTCCCATACCTGATCCCATTTTCATAAAGAGGCCGAAATTTCAGATAAATAATTACAATTCCTAAATATTAAAACACCCACATTAACACAAACAATCCACACATCAAGAACAATTGAATTTCCAAATACTCAATACATTTCGCTTCACCACATCGCAAGCTAAAATAAGACCAATTACCTTGGTGTTGGAGAACACAAGAGGAATATCCGGATTCTGCTGAAGCAAGACCTTAACCCTTCCCGGCGTGGCAATCACCACATGCGGTCTAGCCATCAAGCTCTGAGCTTGGGTCAACATATCCATGCCTCCCACAATCACAGAGCACCGCAAGTGCAGAGACGACCCCAGACCTCTGAACTGCTCAGCCAGCTGGTACGCCAGCTCCCGAGTCGGAGTGATCACCAGCGCAAAAACCCCGAAAGGGTCCTCGGCGAGCCGCTGCAGTATCGGCAGCGCAAACGCCGCCGTTTTGCCACTGCCGGTCTGGGCAAGGCCCAGGACGTCCCGTCCCGCCAGGATTTTGGGGATACAGTGGGTCTGGACCGCCGTGGGCTTCCGCATACCGAGCTCGGTACATGTTCTCAGGACCCAGTCGGCGAGCCCGAGGTCGGAGAATTTGGCGGCGGAGTCAGTGTTAGGGTTTTGTGGATTTTTCGATTTCGGTCTCAGTGCTGGAGGGGTCTGGCGTAGGAGTAGGGTTAGGGTTAGAGGTTTGGAAGGGTTTTGGGGTCTTGGGTCTGAATGGTTTGAAGAGAGGGAAGTCTATGTCGACTGTGTTTTCTTCTTCGTCCATGGTGTTTGGCTTCACTGAAAGTAGAGCGCTTGGGACGAAAGTTTTAACCTTTAACTTAGGGTGTGGCAGAAACGACACCGTTTGGCTGCTCCATAGTTAGCGCCAAAATGAAAATAATTTAATAATAAATAGGGAAATTTGTATGATATCACCTTAATTTTTAGACATGTACATTATTACCACATGAATTTTTAATTTTAAACACATGAAATTTGTAAAATATTACAATTCACCATCTACATCTAACTCAGTTTAAGTCTAACTCGAATTTCGTTTTTGTTTAAGTGTATTTCCGTCAATTAATTATAATTTTAAATAATTTTAAAAAAGGGAGGGAAAAAAGAAAAAAAGTTACCTAAGGATGGGCTTCCTTGCCCCCATCGATCCTATTAGGTTTGGTCTGATGTATTCGTACTGTTGGTTTTGTGGTTTTCATCTTGATCAATTTGTTTTTTTGTTGTTGTTAAGTTTTGTCTTATGTGTTAGCCTTGTTTATGTAGTGGGGATAGTACTTTCGATCAATAGCATAATGAAATGCGGGATAACTTTTTTATATGTTCTTGCATTATTAATTGGAGATAGCAAAACAGTGATATTCCAGTTACAAGTTTTTCTACGTAATTACATAAATGAGGCTTAGATTGGATAATTGAGAAGAAGATAGGTGGGTTGGGTTTTTCAAAGAGGTACCCTATGAGGATTGGATGAGACAAATGGGGTTGGTGTTTGTGGCAGCGAAGAGTCCAGCTGCCGTAGAAGTATTTAGGTCACTTTCCGATATGCTAATGCAACTTTCCGACATAGCAATATGGGATAAGTAGAATACCATCACAGTGGCATCCTGTTACATGTAATGTAAGTTCTTCCCCAGATTTGAGACATGAGAGAGAGAGAGAGAGAGAGAGAGAGAGAGAGAGAGAATGGTGGGATTGGCCTGGAGAGTATTATTTAATTCACGTGGCGTCATATCATTGCATACATTAAGCCCCACGTGTGCGTCATCAGTTTAACAGATTTTTAGACGGAAATACAATTTCGCAAACTTAAATGACATTTTGTCATAAAAAAGCCTTTATTTTGGACCACAAACTGTATTCTTGTACGAAACAAAACAAGAGTTCCATAGTGAGAAAGCAAAACAGAGAAAATCAGATTAAGAGAGATGGAGTCACCGTTCAAGGCTGATGTGGTGAAAGGGAAGGTGGCTCTGATAACAGGAGGAGGGTCGGGGATTGGGTTCGAAATATCAACCCAATTTGGCAAGCATGGAGCCTCCATTGCCATCATGGGTCGACGCAAGCAAGTCCTTGACTCTGCTGTCTCGGCTCTTCGGTCTCTTGGAATTCAGGTATCTTCTGTTTTTCAAGCTCTTGCTTTTTGTGTTTCTTCATTTGGGCTATCTTTTTTAGCTTTGGGCTTGTTTGGTTGCTCAGAAACTTGAGGAAAATTGAACAGACATACTTCTGTTCTTGCCCATTTTGGGTCTCTTTGTTTTCTTTTTTATCATTGAACTACTTTGGTAATTGGGTGATGAGAAAACTGAGGAAATTTATTGAATTTCCCTACTTTAATTCCCCTTTAATCCCCTTCTGTAGTTTTTTTTTTTTTTTTTTTTTTTTTTTTTTTTTCGTGTCGGGGCTTGTTTGGTTGCTGATAAATGAGGGAAGTGAAATAGATTTTTTTTGTCCAGGAAATAAAAATTATGGTTCTGCTTGGTTGATGGAAAAAGCTGGTGAATTTCTGAATTTCGTTTCGGAGTTTAATTTATACTTTGATGCCAAGGAATTACAAGTGTTAAATTATGCATGTTTGCCTGTCTCTTTTGCTATGTGATTGTGGGATTATATACTTTGGAGTTGCAAAGGTGTGTTTCATTTATTTTAGTTACAACGAGGTCAATTGATTAAAACTAATAATTCGAAGGCAGAAATGCATTATGGTTTGAGATATGAAATTAAAAGTTGAAAACTATGAGCAACACAAGGAGGTAGGTTCTAGAGTTTACTTGGCGGCTTGTGGGTCGCTGTGGTCTTATTCACTGGCATCAACTGGCTCAAAATCCAACTGTGGGAGTAGTGGTTTAGTGTTAGTTCATAAGTTCCAAAATTAGATTGATTAGTTTACAGTGGCTGCATCGACTTGTTCAACAATAATACAAAAAATTCCAGTTAGTCTGCTAAGGGTCCATTCAAAAGCTTTCTGAGTCACTTTTCTTGGCTGCTTCCAGGCACTTATCTATATGACACTGACTTGCTTGTGACATGCAGACATTGTTTCTGACTTGAAATTAGTTGGTTATATAGCTCTAGATTTTATTTTATTTTATTTCTTTCGTTTCAGGCTGTTGGTTTTGAGGGGGATGTTCGTAAACATGAAGATGCAAAAAGAGTGGTGGAATCAACTTTCCAGCATTTTGGTAGGCTTGACATACTTGTGAATGGTGCAGCTGGCAATTTTCTTGTATCAGCCGAGGATCTATCCCCTAATGGATTTCGAACAGGTTGGGTGTTGTAAGAGTCTTTATCATCTTTTTGCACATATGAATTTGTTTCAACACATCGTTATTATTATTCGTGTCATTTTGTCATCAAAAGAAATTCTCCTTGTGGCTGAATGGGCTAAAAAAATTTCTAGCCAATGGTTGATCGAGGATGATTTTTGGTGAAAATTTGCTTAAGTGTGAGGTTTTCTTTAGCTTGGAATCTCATGTTCAATGTGTAAAATGAACCTTTTGGAAAGTTCAAAGACATTGAGTTAACAGAGAAAATAATTAACATTATGAAGAAATGCTCAAATCAGAAGAAAGCAGGAATGCATGGATGCATCCATAACTTATGAACTGATCTACTTTTTTTATGATAAGATCCAGGTGTCTTAGCCTTTTAACTCAATTGAAATAGGAGAATAGAGAGTAATAACAGTAAAATGGGATTCATTGTCAGATCAATAGTTGATTTTCTGAGGTAATCAGTGACTACTTAAAGTCACAGTATTGAGGTTTTTCACTAGATTGCTGAAGAATAAACAAAAAAGTTGATTATCTTTGGTGTTCAAAACATATTCATGTTATAGGTACTTCCAGATTTTGACCCAAAAACAAAAAACCATTGATTTCATCTCTTCCCTGCAGTTATGGATATTGATGCTGTTGGAACATTCACAATGTGCTACGAAGCACTCAAGTATCTTAAAAAAGGAGGACCAGGAAGGAGGTCATCTGGTGGTGGAACAATATTGAACATCAGTGCTACTTTACATTATACAGCTTCTTGGTATCAAGTCCATGTAGCAGCTGCGAAGGTTTGTTTGTTAGGTTTTCAGTTGTTATATCTTATTTTTGTGATAAACTTATTGAAGTATTCCTTTCCAACAGGCAGCGATTGATGCCACTACAAGAAACTTGGCATTGGAGTGGGGAGCTGACTATGACATTAGGGTGAATGGAATAGCTCCAGGCCCTATTGATGATACGCCTGGCATGAGTAAACTTGCACCTTCGGAGATAAATAGCAAAGCTAGAGATTACATGCCTTTGTATAAACTAGGGGACAAATGGGATATTGCTATGGCCGCCCTTTACCTTGCTTCGGATGCAGGTTGGGTAACCCTTGCATGCAATTTTGTATCATCGCCATATTTGTACGGTACCTCTTGCATAATCATAAATTTTCATGCCGAAACCAGATAAAATGATAGTTTGAGATAATGCAAGAATCTGTACGTGTTCCATATGCATCTGATTTTGGACTATTTTGTACACATTGTCTCTTGATTGATGCTTCAACTTTTTAGTGTCATCACAGTCCTATTATTCTTTTGGTGGAATAGAGCATGCATACGCAGCTTAAGTCAATAGGAAATAGTAGAAACAAATCATTGAACCAGTTTTGTTACCCTTCTCTTTTTCCCTTTGTTTCGTTGGAAACTTATCTATCATTATAAATTTTGCAGGGAAATTTATAAATGGAACTGTCATTATAGCTGATGGAGGACTTTGGCTGAGCCGGCCTCGCCATCTGCCAAAAGATGCGGTGAAGCAGCTTTCACGATCAGTAGAAAAGAGATCTAGAGATGCACCAGTAGGGGTTCCAAGGAGCAAGTTGTAAGGCGTAGAATAAGTACATGATCATTTTTTTTTCGAGGAACTTTCCTATTGAGAGGGGCAATAATATGCTAAACTCACACACACTACATAGATGCTAAGACTCGAACCCAGAACCTTGTTTAAGGGATCAATTGCTCCAAACCACTGCACTAGTAGGTCCTTTGCGTGTGCCAAGTTGTTAGCATGCTTATTTTGTGTTTATGTTATATCTTAATAAGTTTGGAAAGGTAATAATAAAATCTTCATGGGATTATTAATTTTGATTTTTCCATCAATTTAAGCTGCCTAAACATGAAAGGTGCCATGACAGTGACTTGAGGCTTGCTGTCGCAAATGAAGCAAAAGCTATAAAAAAAATAAATATATATATTAATAATAAAATAAAAAAGGGAAAATTCAATAGAAGCTCAAAATTTTGAATGCTCCTGAAATTTCTGAACCTATTTTATATATGGTGTAGCTTACATCCTTACAAAATAAATTTTGGTTATGCTTTCTGAGTTTGCAATATTTGAAAAATGAATGATATATTTGAGCAGGAAAAGAAAAGAAAGAACTATCAAATACAAAATTGACACGAAGTAACAGCTGAGCCTAATATTCTCTCTCTAATAAACTCCAACTGAGGCTCGTTTCAAAACACATAACCATCCTTTTACATAGTCCCCATCTTGCTTTAACAGGCGATTGTTGTCTCTTTAGCTAGCAATATTTGAGGCTCAGCCGTTTATAGGTATCAGGAGCTTCAACAAAGTCGACTTTTGGGGCAGATGGAAAACCCTGATATGCGATGTCACTGCCATCTCTGCTGGAAATTTAACCAACAGAGTCGTGGACACCCAGGTAGCTTGGCTTTCAGAGGAAACTATCTAGCATAGTTTGTCAGACTTCCCATGCACCATGACAAAAGCTAAAGATTTGACCTCCAATGAGCTGATGAGTTCCAGCAATATTTTAACATCTATGCAGTGGTGCAGGATATATGTCCAGCGGCTGATATCGCAACTGATCATTATGTGGCAACGGTCCATCCTAAAAATTAGCCAAATAACACACGTAAGTTGGAATTCATTCAAAAGAAACTTATCTTCCAAAAGACGCTTTAACAGGAGGAAGAAAGCTACACAGAGAGAAAAATATTATAACAAAAGAAATTTATATAAAACCATTGAGAAAGCTATATTCAGAGCAAACCGTCCCTACGAAATCAATGAAATTGTAAAGCTTAAATGGATATCTACCAGCTTAACAACTATTGAAATGAATACCTCTTCCAAGTTTATCTGAAATGGTTTTACAAAATCCTCGAACATCACTGGAGAAAGGTCCTTCATTTTCTCCTCTACCTCCTATAAATAGGAAGACAAGATTGTGAGAACACACATCTAACAAGTTCAGTGCAAGAATTTCATTAGATATGAAGATAATTGTTATCAAATCAACATTACAGCGAGAATACAATAAGAGAAGGATGTTTTATAACGTACCAAACCAGTAATCCTCGACTTCTCTACTAGTTCCTCCGTAATCAGGTCCAATATGTGCCTATTGTTCTTCAAACCATTCATTGCGAGTTCTTCTGTTTCTTCAATGTACTGCAACAAACACCAAACACTCACGAAGTGTTATCATCTAATTTGTCATGTCATTGTGCACCCATAAGCACATGGGGACTGAATACATAATGATCCTGCCTCAATTATTTATACCAAGGCATTTCCTAAGCCAAATCAAAGTAAACAACTAGCTTCAACACAACCACTAACATTCACTAGTGTCCTTTCCGGATAGCATGAAAAATGATAAAAAGTTAAGCAAATTAAATTACCCTTGTCAACTCTCGAGTAAATAGCTCAGACACTTCAAGAGTCATATTGGCTGGAATAACATGAGGGTCATCCCACTAACATCATGAAGAAAGATAAGAAGAATTAGTTGATGAAGATAATCAAATCAAAAAATAAAAATGGAGGTTCACAGCATATTTTTGTAGATATTTGCAAGTAAAGAGAAATAAGATTACCCTGTATCTTATTAACTCGCCATCTGGACTATCTGGTCGATCCACAAGTCCAACTCTCTTTGTTAAAGCTGTAAGCCCCAACCTTGAATTTTGAGGGCTGATTACCATCTCTCGAGCAATCTGAAGAGATTACTTAATTGAGGAAACGGATATACCAAATTGTGTATTAACTGCTACTAATATGGCCTTGGTGATCTACTAGGAAACATTTGTGAAATTGTTCGGAAGGTCAAGATTCATATTTAAGACAAATCTGGTGAAAACTCATGTTCCTTATGAGATTAAAATGCACTGTGCATTTAAACAAGGAATGTTCATCACAGAGATTACAACACAGAAAGAGAGACTGTGTTTCACAGTACTTCTGCAAAGAGGATTACTTACATGCATACTGCCTATTATTAAATATAAACACATCCAAATTTTTAAAATTTAAGCGCCCCTAAAAACCATGGTTGTCTGTATCAATAACTTTGCCTGATATGAAGAAGGAAAGAGATAAAAAGGAAATGAGCTGAACACACTTTCATTGCCTAAAATAAATGAAGACACCTTAGATCACATAAACTTCAAGCAAATAAGTATATTGCTAAATGGGCAATTTATTTGTACAACTTTGAGCTAATTGCACTTTCATTTATTTTTCTTCCAGAGAATAAATTCTGTAAATTTATATCATATGAAAGGAACTGTGATTACCTTTGTTATCTTTTCCAAATCATCCCTTCCTCCATCAGTTATGTCATCACCAAACACGACACGCTCAGCACAACGCCCACCATGAGCTACCACCATTTGCATCATCATGTAGCCAAAGGTTGTATAACCTTGGTCTACCATATCTTCTCGGGGGAAGAACACAGATATTGCAGTTTCCTGTTCATATTACAAATGAGCTTCGTCAGAGAGCAACTCCCACAGAATTTCAATAGCATCCACCAATGATTGTTTTTATCACCAGAATTTGTACCTTACCACCAGGCAGAAGCTGAGAAAATGCATGCCAATCAAATTGAGGAAACAGATGAGCTAATACTATGTGACCAGCTTCATGAACAGCCAGCAGTTTCTTCTTTTCCGAAGACACCTATGATGTAATTATATACAACTCAATCACTAAATTAAGTATTATATAACATTTGTCACTCCAAAAGAAACACCAAAGAACAACCAACATGGACATACACTTTGTTCGCATTTCTGCTGCTCTTCTTCAGTAAGGAGTACACCCATACCCTCAAGCAATTGTTTATCTAGTACATCAACAATGTCTTGCTGGAAGATCTTTGAATGCCCTTTCCTCACCTGAAAAATGAAGGGTAGAAAACAACATGCAAAGAAACTTGAGAGAACTGTTCAGCAACACTAGATTGCAAAAAATGCATGAGAAACTTTCTTTTCAAGATAAAAAATAAAAGTAGTTGAAAGTTACATATCATGTGAAACATCACTTAAATATATATATATTTTTTTTGAATAGAAACATTGTATTGATAATCAAGAGGAAAAATCCTCGATCAAACAACAAGACCAAAAATAAAGAGTGTCTGACCTACTAAGATTGAAAATAATTCTGTAATTAAAAAACACAAAAAACACAAACTTCAGTAAAATCATCTTAGGACTGCCATCATGTCTCTCATGATGGTAGAGTAATGATAGTCCTTGAACTGCCCCGAAACCGAAGCCCAAAGAGATGCCCAAAGTTTAGTTCTATCCCATAATTCCTCAACCCTTACTCCTATATGACCCTGAATATTTTTTAAATTGAGATCCCAGTACATAGCAAAAGCACCCTTCACCTAATATAACCGTTCACCAAGAACAGTAACGTCACCATAGTTACTACCGAAAGTTGAATAAGGAAGCATATTATATTTCCAAGGGCCAAAGCATCCATATTTACTTAAGGATCCTATTTCAAGAGAAAAGTCATACAAATATAAAGCTTATTAAGCAACTTTGTATGTTTGTAAGTTTTACTTACTGACATAATTGCTGCTTCATTGACAAGGTTCCGAATATCTGCCCCAGAAAAACCAACAGTACGGAAGACAAGCTGAAGTGGAAGAAAGAGGAGGCAAACAGTAGCACAAAACCAAGTTAGATTTCCATCCCTACTATATAAACAGCAAAAGGTAAGCACCAATTACCAAAAAAAAAGAACCAAACCTAGAGACGAAATCATCACTGGATACAAGACACTTAACATAATATATATGAATCTTTGGAGTGGAAGAGACAATATGCAGCCAAACGCCAAATATATTTTCTCAAATAATATGAACAATAAAGAAAGCACCAATTACCAAAATAAAGTACCACAGCATATAGAACCAACAGACAAAACAAGCACTATATCTGCAAGATATCTGAAAAACAACCATATATCTCCCTACTTAACCAACTCACGCAAGTATAAAAGAAAATATGCATTGAGGTGATCAAACATTGTGTTTCTTTGGGAATCCGTATGTGTAAATTTCAACAGTCGCTCATGGTTCAAAAGTCAAGAGTGTTTTCCACCATTCATATTGGTGAAAATCAATGAACAAGAACAGTCGTACAACAATAAAGAAGACAATGCAAGAGAGAGAGAGAGAGAGAGAGAGAGAGAGAGAGAGAGGAACCAATTCATATGCTCATTGTTGAATGGTTAGCTTTAAATAATGTCAAATACCATGACTAATTGCAGAAAATTCAACTTCTTAAGCATGACTTTGAAGGAATAATGCAAAACAAGAAACATCAACCACTTACTTTCCCAAAGTCTACATCTTCTGCAAGTTGCTTTCCTGCACTGTGCACACCAAAAATTTGTACTCGTTGCTTAGCATCAGGCAAACCAACATACAGTCGACGGTCAATACGCCCAGGTCGAACAAATTCATGGTCTAGTTCATCTGGCCTATTGGTAGCACAAATGAATATCACAGCTTGTCTGAGAGAGAACCGATCAACACCAATTTTTTCCTTCC